CGTGCTTGGTCCATCTTCTTCTTCTCTCTGGCAATTGTGGCCTGAAGGTCAGCCAGCTCTCTCTCTTGTGATTTGAGTTCTTTGTTAAGCTCATTTAACTTCTGCATCGTGACTAGAACTCCACTCGAGTTGGGAGAACTACCTCCAGACAGTGTACCAGATGGATCATAGGAGTCACCTTCCAATGTGATACTCTTCATGCGAACGGAAGGATCAAATGTAACTCGCTTGGCTGTAGCAGCATCTGCGCAGATGAGAGTATTTCCGAATACGTAATCCATAGCAGTCGAAACTTCTTCATCGTATCCAACCAAGGATAGTGCGAGATCTACTTTGCCCGGAGCAATTTTTTGAGCAGCACCAATCTTTTCTGCTGAAGCTCGGAAAGCGGCAATCTTGTTCAAAGGGATGATAGTGACTCGCTTCCTTAGTTTTCCATTTTGAAGTAATTGGGTACCAGTAACTTCTGTGTCAACGACAACATTGTACAAACGACCACCTGCACAAATTTCGAGGGCTGTTCCCGCAGCTGTGTGGTTCTTATCAATTGTGAAAAGTTGAGCCACCAAACCCTTCACTTTCGATCTATCGAAATTTGGAGTAGGATCTGCGTAATTGAAGTCCACATTTGCTACTTTACGTTTCAAGCCATCTGCTTGTTCCCGAATTCTTCGGATGTTCTGCTGAATAGTGGATTCTTGCTTGTACATATCATCCTCTTTGCCTGCTTCGAAGCCCAATTTTTGAAGCTCCTTTTCGAGTTTCTGAGCTTGAGATCGTAATCCCTCAAGGTCCCCAAGTAGTCCAGCATTTTGCTCTTTAGCCTTTTTCGACCTTGGCTCTTCTTCTTTGATTCGCTTCTCAAGATGAGTAATCTTCAATTTGGCTTGTTCTTGCTCGGTAGATGCAGCACTCATTCGATTTCTTGCATCTTGCAATTGTCCTTGATATCCACTCTCTTGGCCTTCCTTGGATGCGACACCAGTTTGTAAAGTTTGCAAAAGTTCCTCTTTTGTCTCTGCTTCTAGATTTTGCTTCTCTAAATCTTCCTTGGCCTTATCGTATTGCGCTTGTATTTTTTCGTAAACTTTGGTTTTCTGTTCGAGTAGAGATTCCATCTCGGAAACCATCTTTTGAGTCACCAACTTTCGTTCCTGCTCTTCCGCCATACTCGATTTTTTCAGATCCATTACCGTCGCAAGTCGAACCAATTCATGAGAATATTTCTTAACCTCTTCCTCTAAAGCTGAGGCTTTCCCACCCTTCTTTAATTCTTTCTCCCGTTGTGCCTTCACCCTTTTGATATCCTCTTCCAAGAATGAGATTTCGCTTTTCAATCGATTCGCCGATTCCTCCAATTCTATCGCCCGTTGTTTCTTGAGCTCGAGATCATTAGCTGATTGGGCAACTTTTTCCTGATTCTTCAAGTAATCATGCGCCACAACCACTCTCGTGAGTCTCTCCAAATCATTTTGTGTTTGTTGATAATCTAGGAAAGCCCGTTTCTCCGTCCGCAGCTTTTCTAACTTTGGCTCGATTTCTTCTTTCAATAACTCGGTGATCTCTTGGACCTTCATTTCCTTCTTAGCCATCGTCTTGAAAGCCTTATCTCTCCTGTCCTCGAACATCCGTGTCCCTGCCGCCTCCTCAATCATGGCAAGAATTTCAACCGCTTTCATATTCAACACTTTTGTAATTCGTCCTTGCATAATCAAGAAATTGGGGTTGTTGATATTGAGCTGAACGGATTGGAAAAGGTTTTGCACAGTCTGTTGTTGTGCTCGATGTCCATTGATAAGATATTTGCTGGTGCCTCCCAGGACAATTTGTCGAGTAACACTGATTTGAGCATATTCCTCGAAACCGATGGGCGATTTCTTCTTGTCTCGATTGTCGAAAACAATCGTCACACTAGCTTTCGTTACTCCGGCTTGTCCACGCTTGTATATTAGATCCTAAAGAGGTTCGTCAATACGCTTCATGCCCATGTGAGGGGTTATAATATACCTGAAGATTCTGCGCCCGAACTGTTGTCATATTCGTAATACCAAGAACAAAACATATTGAGTCGAGGATATTCGATTTACCACTACCATTCAGACCAGTAATCGAATTGAAACTCTCATCCCTAAATAAGATGTAAGAATATGTACCAAAGAATCTTTCGTTTGCATTGTTTACCATCCTGAAATTACAGTACGCACAGCGTACGATTTGAAACCCTACACATGAGTTAGTCAAGAGATCTAAGGATTTTGAGGAGTTTGTTTATGAGACATACATCTATAATGACTTCTACTATCCTCATTATGGCGGTATCGAGTCGTAATATTGTTGGTCGTAAAGTCGTAAATATTTATTTTATATTTTGATTTGCGCGTGAGAGTAAACAACACAATTTGGGTCCGCAGCAACCTCGGATCATTTGGTTATTCCTTTCCGTACCCCTCCTCATCCTTAAACTTTATTCAGACACATCAGACTTTCATCAAAAATTTGTACAATTTCGCATCATTCAAATGTAAATGCGCATAGTATTGAAATTGCAGTAAATCACTACTCACTATATAGCCATGAAAGGATAGGTGCGTTGATTAGCCTGTAGTCGTGCAATGATTCCATATTTTGCTTGGTTTACCACGAGCGAAGTCAATATAGCACAGGAAGACGAGACCTCGAAAAAGGCAACTGGCACCATTAATGGAAGTGCGTCTATTTTATGGTTTACTATGTGGTATATTCAAACTCACTGATCTCAATTTTCGGGTCTCAATATTCAACACTCACCGAAAAGATACATTCAAAACACTTTCACCAGCACCCCACTCGCCAAATTTCAAGGTGAGTTTCAGATAAGGTAAAAGGTATAGTAGCTCTGGCATCGGATATTGTAGGTTTCCTATGAAATTTCCGAAAATCTGATCCAGATACGTATAATGGTTGCTGGATTGGAAGCTGAAGACCCTGGGGCTAGATAAGATGGAAGAAGTCAAGATAGTACTACATTCACGTTGGCAATGGGTAATAAGAGAGGTCATGTAGAGTTTTAAGGGGGCGTTGGAGATGTGAAAACAAAGATCTAACAGTGGTGAGTCAGCTGCACGAAGGCTCAAGCGAGCTTGTTACATTATGAGACTAATGACAATGAATCTCGGATGTTTTGATATTTCCCCCTTTCAGCTTTGTACGGTTTGCCATGCAGTACTCAATATTTTGAATTTTCAAAATTCTTTGCCAGGAAACTTCGTTTGAAGCTTGAAAAATAATAGCCCAGCTCATTGATGAATTGTACATCAAGTACCCGCGTACCTATAAAGGAGAGCTATTTAAGCCTTCCTGATACCTTTTGGCTTGAATACTTCGTGCATCATTTACCTATCATGCTTAGGGCGATCTCTATCAAGCTTCATGCAAAGGGAGTTCTGAGATATGAATATACCATGCACCGGATAGAAGATTTGTTGGGTTTGGTGGCAGTACTCTAACTTAAGGCTGAGATTACTCTTGTTCTACTAGCACTAAGCGGGCGACAAAGGGGAAGGGGCTGTCAAAAAGTCAGGGGGCAGTATGAATCCTCAACATCCGCCAGCCAAAAAGCGTTGGTGGGATTCCGGGGTAAATAGACCACGGGTAGTGAAAGGCAAACACCAGAGCTCGGATTCTTCACGGTGCGTCAAAGGGTATATATAATTACTGCCCTGCATTATCATTCTTCCCGTCGCCACTCAGAATACAATATCTCGAGTCACCTTTTAGCTCACATATAATGGATACTACTATACTTAATCATGGCGTGATCATACAAGTGAATATGTCCGTCGCGACTCTACTATGCTATGATAAAGAGTCACTGTCGATATTTCCAGTCATATATGATATTCATAACAACAAACGTTGACGATTTCAAATCATACATCATTTGAAACACAGTAATCATCGTAGTTCTCACATTCATCGATGTAGTTATCTATAGTCACCTTGTGCATTTTGAGTAGAAAACTAGTCATGATTCAATATGTTCATTTCTAGGCCTGGAGATGACTTTTCTGGATCACAACGCTTATTAGAGCCAAAGGTCTATCAATAAACAGTCAAAATAGTCATTTCAAGTCATCCATCTGCCAATCCCCATTTACGGAGACAATTCTTCTCAATCATCCTGCTTATCCGCAGTCAAAAACTGTCGAAAAATATACGTCATATCATTCATTTGAGTCACTTATAAGCTTATTTCTACTCATGAAGATATTTTTTAGTCACTCTGTTGATATTGGGTGAGGAAATATCCGTTGGGAGTCAAGATATCTATTTCTCGTCATCAAGTGTCAATATATTCAATCACAAAGATATATTTTCAAACCATTATGAGTGTTTAGAGTCAAGAGTTCAAACCCCCGCGTCATATCGTTTAATTACAGTCACTTGTGACCTCTCCCCACCAACGAATCTCATTCTCCGCAGTCATTATGTTGATAAGAAGTCAAAACTTCCTTTTGGGAGTCAAATTGACCATTCCTAGTCACAAATCGAGGATATTGTAGTCATTATCTTTCTCTCAAAGCTCGCTAAAGTAAGGTCAAATGTGCTCAAGTAGGTTAGAAGTATCCCCTCTCCCTCCATTTCCAAAACCAACTCGAACACAAATTTCCAGAGCAAGATAATCGAATACAAAACATATCGAAATATCTAACATGAGGTTTCCAAAGCGAAATACTTGAACACGAAGCTCGTCAAATCATTCAACAATACACTCCGCTACATATCGCTCTCCATATTACTTCCATATCGTAGCTTCATATTACCTCTCCATATCAAAGCATTTACCAGATCCCGCCATCACCACTCCGTCTCGGCCATATAGCTCGATATCAGACACTGGCTCAAAGATCAAACCACACATCATCACGCCAAGGCCCAGCACTTCACTAACGATCCCAGCATCGCAGAATCGTTTACTTAGCCTTTCTCGGCTTCGATTTTAGCACCCACGAATCAAAATTATGCAGACCCCAGAGGAAATAGACAGGGAGAACAGAGATAGAAGAAATGCATATAATCAGGAGAAATATCAAAAGGCGCTTAAAGACCCCGAAGCAAGAAAAGCGCTGAGAGAGAGGAAGAACAAAAGTGCACGGGATATAAAGGAAGCGCTGCGTAGGAACCACCCCGAAGCAGCGGAAGCAAAAAGACTGGAATACAATAGAATGCAGCGGGAAAGACGTGAAGATCCCCAGAGCAAGGCAAAGACAGCTCTTTATGATGTAGAATATAGGAATCCGCTGAACAACCCTGAACTAGGGAAAATCCGCCGGGAGCGGATAGCAAGTAATGGTAGGAAGAGTTATCATGAAAGATCGGGAGAAAATCAAGCAGCAGTATCCGAGAGCAACGATGGCTCCGCATTGCTTACAAGCGAGGATTATTCCGCAGATACGGGATGGTCTGACGACGAAGAATTCTCAAAATTAACGCTGTCGCATCCTCATCCTTCTGCAAGCCCTGGCGTGTATGAATCTGCAGAAGTCGCAGCATCGTTTCCGACAAACGAAGGCAATTCACGTTTGCCTGCGACCGACTCTGGATTTGCATCGTCGAGACACGAAAATCAATACCCGCCGCCTAACAGAAATAGTACCGCAGAATCCGAAAGCAGGGACAATTACGCATCACCTGAAACCGATTTATACTCTGCATCGCCTAAAAACAAGTACTATTCCCGAGAAACTGGCAAACACAGTCCCGCAGGATCAAAAAGCGGACATGTTTACACACCACCTGCAACCGCGTCACACCCTGCACCACCTGTACAAAGCTATGACTCTACATTGAATACGACCAAGTATGCTTCTGGAGAACCCATTTGGGCCTATGAAAATAAAACTGATCAAGAGCTCAGTGTACCGTCGGTTAAAATTCGGGATCGTGAGGGTGTATGGTGGCCAATCAGTCATCCTAGATTCACAGACCGAAGCCACGAATAAGAAACTAAGATATCCATAGGGTCCCTTCCTTTGGATAACAGTACATAACTGGAGAAGAGCCAAGCTCTCAAGTTGGATGTGATATGAAAAATTTCTTCTTCCATTTGTTTTTGGAATGTCCTCCTCGTTTGGGATATTAGGATTTAATTGGGTGTGGTGGATGAAATTTCGCGTTTTCGAATATCCTGACCGTTTGGATGGCATTTCCTTTCCTTGGTTATTTTTCGTTACCTTCCATTGAGGTTTTCGTTCCCTTGTAGGATTGGGATTATTAAAGTTTCTTCAAAGAACCATCTAGCCCAAAAGCCTAGGGTGGTTATTATTTCTCCCAGATATGCCCTCACTCATTCAAGATATCTGGCATTGTCATGGATTTTAGAAAAAGAAAAAAAAAGTTGAACCAGCACTTGTTGTTAAATAGACTAGGATTGCAAACTGATTGCAGCCACTTGGCAGAGAGTTATATTGCACGTGAATGTGATGTCTTTGTGCATACGATGTTCAACAGGAAGCAAATCGACTGTCTACTCAGGGAAATTTCATTGCATGCTCGACTGATGTTAACGGGCTTGCAAGTCGACGATTATAAACAGTTTTCAGACTTCTCAGACCTCATTTCACTCGTTCATACACCATCAGCCTGTCAAAGACTTGACATTTATAGCATCGTATTATATATCCAACAAGCCTTATTTGTCAATCACACTAGGAAGTTTGGGGGGGGGGGTGATGGGTCGATATTAAGCTCTGAAGTGGAACTGGTTCTTGCTCGATTCGGTGCCGACCGAGGGGTGCGAAAGGTTGTGGCCGAACTAGCAATGGAAGACCAATCGCCGAAGTCTTACCAGGCTCATGCCATGATCGTCGCTGAGTAACGTAAATGCCCCCGGCAGTCTCCACGAAGTCCCCATTATTCTTTACAAAACGGCATGGGGCTTAGGGTACACTCGTACAGTATGCGAACGAACTAATCCAGCAGCATTTCAGGGCTAGTGGTAGAGACTGGTATTGTATATATTCGATCACATATCTTTAAGAAGCTGCTATAGAGACATCTCGATTCTCAGTTGTACAGCTAGGAATGACGAGTTGGTTTGAAAATCTTCTCGGTGTGATTTTGGACCGTTCGGTAGGGCGGGAGCACTGTAGTACGAAAATCTATGGTAAATACTTCCACCAGTAAATTATTACTATTTGCCTTGCAAATCTATTAGGTGATGATCGTATCGTACGTTGTGGACAGGTAGATCAATTCTTTAGAGTAAATCCAGACCCAAAAGCATGATCGTATGGGCTGAGAAATGATGAACAGAAGAACATGAGGATGCGTCGGTCCAATTCTATATAATTAAGAAAAAAGTTGCGCTGCAAGTCTGACATTCTGACATCACACCAAGGAACTTGCCATGAGAGAAGGACACATGGCACAATTAAGGATTCGTGGTGGAGTTAAAAGTATTCTAGTGCTTTGCCCGTGGAGCCGCCACCTTCACTATGTTAATATGAGGATTCAGTCCAGCACCACAAAGGTAGTACATATGAGTCCAATTAGAAGTGGATTTTGTCCGATTTTGATGCATTCGTATCGTACTCGAATGGTAGACTTGAAAGTCCTCAGCATTGGGCTTTTATGCGTACCGTCAAAGCAGAATGATGATATGTTATATTGCGAGAGCGTGAGAGAGTGAGGATAAGGTGGGCAGTACGAAAACACGGTTGGAAATTAACCATTTCACCCAAGGTTGTGTGACACCGCTTTCATTCTTCAACTAATTAGGTCATTTTGCCATGCATGCATTTATAAGTTAGCCTACCTAGGTAAATGAATCAGAGACGAGATAGATTCGAGAATTCCCCTTCTCACATCGCTCGCAAGATCTTGCCCACCTATCAAATACCGCAAATACCGCAATTGTGCCTAATTATCGGTTTCGTATGTGTGTACATGTAAGATGGCTGGGGAACCATTCACACGATTGTCATTTTGTATCACCATGGCCCACCTGTGTGTGGTTCGTTGCTCAACTAGTACGGGGTTTATCAAACATAGCCATGCTCCGTACACAGAATGATCTACAAATTCTTCCACGGATGAATCTTACAAGCCTTCCGGAGCCCTGTTCTTGGCCTTCTTCTTTCACACAATGCAGATCAACCTCGGTGTTGCGTGAAGCTAGAGCAGCAACAATATACCACCATACTTCATACTACATGGTCAACCAGGTAGAAAGCAGACATTTTCGGAGCATACATATCAATAGCAAGCATATACACACGCATTCAGATACAACATTACGAGACGAAGTGTGTGATGATCTGAAATCAAGGTCTGATAATCAGAAAATAATGCCGTTTCCTATTTCCCATACATTAAGTCATTGATCTAAATTCCAGCTCGGTATGCACTTACGAAGGAATGGAAGTCCCATCACCTTGGTTCGGGCATGATCGATTGTCGGCCCGTCCTTACCTGGTCGACTTCCTGCCACCAATTTACTGCTTTGGGAACACTCCGGCACTAGACAGCTTTTCCTAATTCCGAGACCAATAGAATCTTATCGTGGTGATTGTTCTCCGACGATGAGATTACATATTAGCTGGAATGTACAGGCACCATTGGCAGGTTGCAAAACACCCATTGATGTTGGTCACCAAGCTTGAGAAATGCAGCGTGAGGTAAAATGCTAGTATGCTCCCTTTGATGTGGCTAAAGAACGTTGGTGATGAGCTAAATGCATCGAATTACTGTCACCACTACCGGCACGGCACAGGGTTGTCCCGATCGTTGTTGTCTGTTACACAACTGCCAATCACCTCGTCCGACTCTAATCCGGACGCTATAAATTGAGTTCAATATTGATGCCATCCCATCTGGAACATTACCCCGGCTCTCACTGAAGGTCTTTCATGCACTCACTGAGCTGATGTTCCAGCCCCTCATCAAACTTTTACCAAGTCCTAGGTTTTCTATATTCCGATCGATGTGTTGGGATTTTGAGCTGGGATTCTTTGAATTCTGGATTTCTGGATTTCTGGAATCCTATTCAGATCTTGATCCTTCATGACTGTTGACCTGATAAGATCTGTTTCCGAAAAAGTAGCAGCCATGACCTACCAATCTTCGCCGTGATGACTGCTGCTAGTACTAGCCTGACAGTGCTGTGTGGAGCTTGAGTACTACGAGGGTTGCCCTTCCATTGATTTGGCTCTGGAACCTATGCATGCTTGGTTCATGCATCTAGGTGGTGGAATGGAAGCTGTTCTCCATTCTCTTAGTGCACGTCATGAAAAACCTTAAAAATACTCAACTCGGTGATTTCAGGGCTGCACGTCGAGGCATCCAAGAGGACAGCTTCTGAAATTTTGGAATCCAAATATTTGTATTGTTCTTTTTTGACTGGCCTTACCCTGGACCTTGTCACCAGAACTTGCACAGACAGAAAATGTGGCGCTCCTTAAATTCATCTCCACATTGTACTGCAGCTCACCCACAATCCAATTCTCTTTTGATCCTTATGTCCCAAATCCACAAAAGAATTACTACACTACCGTACTTTCCTATGCACAGAAATTCTCACCTTTGACCAACTCCACCCTAGATTGCAACTCCCAGAATTTGGGTCTACGACGCATTAAAGGTTCTCTCGAGATTAATGAGGCACACGAGTTCCCTTGTCTAGTCGTTACACCAGTAATCAAATCTCGACATTATCAGCTCTTTCTGGACTCTAATCACCCATTTACTCCTGTCAGGACTTACACGTATGCGACCTCCGGCAGATAAAATCCCCTTTCTCTCATTATATTAACATTGGATATATTCCTGATCCTGACATCAGATCATATTATTCGTTGGACAACTAAAACCCCTCGCCTTGCTGCATCTCAATTCCGATGCAGCTAGCTAGGCTTGCATTTCCAGAAACCCTTCGATTGCTCTGTGGATTAAGTTTGGTGTCATTTTATCTTATTTAAACTTTAATATCCACACCACATGACAAAAGATCTGTACACCGCAACCAGTTCCAAATCCATATCGACAGACATCACCACGGAAGGGCACTGTGCATAAGCTGGGTACTTCCAGAACGGTCGAAATTTCAGCTATCCGTGTGCTCCATAAATGTATATGCTGATCCATTCATACATCATCGACTGCTGTACTTGAAGATTATACCCTCTACAGTCCCCACCAACGTTGGAGTATCCCCGAAAGATGCTCCAAATTCCACAATAGAGCGAATAGTTTGATGTAGAAGGTGCTTAGGACACTACAACTAAACTTACATTCCGATCTATTTGAATTTCGTACGAAAGGTGCTGCTCGTAGCTCACCACATCTCGTTATCATCATGACGGGTACAGGTCGTTTAGACCTGCCTAAGCAATCAATACCGGGTCAACATCTTCTCACACTCGAACGCGACCCTCAAGCACAACATTCTCAACAGTTCCTAAGTTCGGCCCGGTCCTATGCGGATCTGAACTATCTTTTTGGGGCCCAGGATATAACAATGATTGGGCCCATTCCGAAATCAAATCGACGAAAATCAAGTCAGGGAATTGAGCATGTGAAGCATCGTCGGACAAGATCTGGGTGTTATACTTGTCGCAGTAGACGAGTGAAGGTACTCACTTAACAACTGCAATTTTCCAAAAAAAACGGGCGCTAACTTTCCAGTGTGACGAACACCGCCCAAAATGTGATAGTGAGATTATGAGCTTATATTTTGTAACATGCTGCTAACCTCAACCTATAGGATGCACAAAAGGCAATCGAGAATGTGTATACCCTGATGTGCAGAAATCGGCAAAGGGCGCGGCAAACATTTCATCTAAAGCTGGGCAATCAAAGCCATCAGAAAGCCCTGGTTCATCTGAGGATGAATACGAGGACCGAGACGTTGAGCGTCTGGAAGTTATCCGAGATGAAGATGAGATTGAAAGCCAATCCAAGTATTCGAAAAATAGTTCGAACCTCAATGCCAGCGCACAAAGTTCGCATTCTTCCACTCGTATTAAAACTGGCACAAGGCAAAGCTCAGAGACTCCTTCTTTGATACAAGAAACAGGCTCTTCCCCGACGCCTTCAACTGAAGGCTCTATTGGTTATTCTTCATTTGATCAATTTAGCGGTAGTCCGCAATTCTACGACCAGACATTCACAAATGACTTGGGACCCGACAACTCGAGGAGCAGCTGGTCGCATTTACCACCCGATCTACAATTTTACTTGGCATATTATTGCCAAAATATCACCTTCATGCATTATAGCTTGAGGTCCAACAATGAGGGCTTTATTCACAAATTGTTATTAGATGTCGCCATCCGCCATGAAGCTCTTCTTTACGCAGTGGTAGGGTTTGCAGCTTTCCAATATGCAGTAGAGAAACAAGAAGGCAAAATCCAAGACTTTCTACAATACTACAATAAAGCAGTATCGTTACTTTTAATCTCACTGAAGAAAGGTGCCCAGCATACTACAGGTACAATTTTAGCTATCTTACAATTGGCAACGATCGAAGTATGTACCGCAAACAAATTCTCCAGGATGACATGCTGATTACTTACAGGAGTATCTTGGGGACTGGGCAAATCTTTTAGGCCATCAAAAAGCTGCATACGAAATATTGGTAGATATATATTCCCCGCAAACAATCTTTGAGACAAGTATAGGCCGCGCCATTTTCGGGTGGTACACACGTTTCGATGTCATGGCTGGAATCATGGGTGGTTTTGATGCCTCCATCTCACGAGAATGGTTTTCATATGCACAGGAATATTTCAAGAGTCGAATCGCGCAAGAACCAGATAGCCTCGTATGGAAATTGGAGCATCAGGCTTCAGCAATGCGTCTTGTAGGCAAAGACATGTCGACTTTATTTGCGAAGCAAGGAAAAGGAGAAATTACCCATGAACAATTTATCTTTGAAAATGCAAAGATGACACAGCGGATGAAAGATTGGAAGGACAATATGGACCCAGCGCTGTTGGACAGTCGATATTTGGTCACTGGTTTTCCCCCAGCACAACCCGGGAGTCTATTTGATCCATGCATGCCAGGTGTACTTTATCGTGGGCCGCTCTGGGCGATTAACATAGATACAATGGATCGGTATGCTGTAGCCTTGATGCATGGACTGCATACCGCTCAGGCGATGCAGATGCCACCCGATTTTGAAGTTATGAACAGGTTGTCCGAAGATTTATGTCAGATGTATGAGTCAATTTTGCATCATCCAGAGACACCAAAAGGGGCAGCCGTTGGTCTCCAAGGGGGTCTTGGTATTGCTGTCTTCTTCCTATCCAAAGATGAAGCATATAATATGTGGATGCGCCGAAAGTTGGCAACGATAGAGTCTCAGGGGTAATGTGCACTACTATTCACAGATGTTCTACTGCTAATACAACAACCAGTTTCATACAAACTTTCGCGTTCAGGAGCAAAATGGCAGAACTATTTCGAGATAATTCTTGCATGCATTGGTGGTTGCCAAATGACGAACTGTATCATCCAATAATTCGATCTGTACGAAAATTTGTCGAGGATCGAACCTCCTCGCCAAAGAACGCTGAGAGCAAAGATGTGCAGGACATGAAGGCAGTTTTCTCTGCTATGGACATCAGTGACCAGAGTGATAGCTCACCTCAAATGAGCAACAAGGGAAAGTCAGTGGCCACGGACTTCGACGTAGCTAGCAGCTCGGGGTGGTCTCCTGCTCAGACAAGTAATGATTACAGTCAAAATGAATATGGAGGCGACTCTAGGAGCGAACAGTCTTCCTGGAACAATCAAACTGGGGGTTATTGATGAATAAGACGAATTTTCGGAAACCAAACGTATCGTATGAATACCATTAATTGGAATAGCTGCGTGGTGTTCGTTCAGACGCCTGTCGTGACGGCGCTTCAGAGTCAATCCAACAATCCGACTCGAGGACATCGTCTTCAAACCATTCCATGAGGAAATTCAAGAGAAGGAGAAATGGGACAATTTACTAAAATTCAGTACAGAGTAACGTAGTCGTAATGACCGCGTGGTTGTAGTCCTCAAGGAGAGGGTACAGGGGCGGGGTCCCGTCTTCCCTAGGGTGAAGCAATGGCCATCAGATGCTACAGAGAAGCATTGCCTGCACAGAGTATGTGATCGTATGTCAATGCTTCCTGCGTTGTAAAATCTGACAACCCAATAATGTCAATTCGACACCAAAATTCTAATGAATTACTGAGCAACCATTGACCTTGGCGTTGTGCGAAGTGAACAATAAAATGAACATTTGTATAGATATTCAAAGATTTACCTCCATATACATGTGAGCATAAGGTTGTCTGGATTCCAGTTTCAACAAGCACCATCTAGGCAGGTAATCGATAGTAGCGTAAATACTAATGAAATTTTGAAGTGAGTGTTCTTTTATATACATATTTCAATCTTCTATACTCTACGTTTGATGCATTGATGATCTCTTATAGACGATGTGATGTATTCTTGTTGTTGGTTCCTTGTAAGTTGTAACCGACCTTACCTAGGTATCCAGAAGTAGACTACGGGGAGGCATGTGCCCATGCGCGCAATAAGGTTCCCCAAGCTTCATGAAATTCAATGGTTAATTGAACCAACGACTCTACTATCACAGCACATTCAGAAGCGCACAAGTTATCGTCCTGATTCGGAAAATAATACAAAGTCATTGATATCGGGAATCACAGCATCGACTATGAATCGACCAGGTATGAGGCTCTCCAACTCCCTTTTCCACCCCACAGCTGCCCCGCTGCACGGCTGCCAGAGAGAAGGGAGACAGCTTGCATTGGATGATATTTCAAATGCGAGAGAATACCGGCTGTCAGAAGGATACGGGATCTAGCGGACTGCCAGCAGTATATAGGCGCTGCCCTAAGGCTTGGATTATGGATGGACCGCGGAAATCTTGCACAAGCTCTGCATGAAGTCGGATTTTACAACCCAGATGAGATCGGATGAGAGAGCTTCCATGAAGGGGCAGTTGCTAGGTCTGCTGGCGTGGTTTGAAAGAGTGAAACCGAGATCTGACATCCGAAGGCGAAGGGAGTGCTCGTGTGGCTAGAAAGTGTTTGGGCGCATTAACCTGCAGCTATCATGGGCTTTCATTGAACTTTCTGTACAGGGGGACTAGTTACGGAAATGTGCTGACTTTGTTTTCCCAGGTGTAGGACCGCAGGCCATGCGTGGCATACCCAATGGATTCCCCAATCAACAGCAGATGCAGAACAGGAACGTATCAAATAGGATACCACCCAGTGGGAAAATGGGTACGATTCACACCCCTCATATTTGAAAGAATAGGAGGAGACTTCATGTATACTGATGTTTGTCTATGACTTCTAGCAAACAATGGAGCGACATGGGCATTTGGAGGTGTACCGATGGGGGGAGCAGGTCTAGGAAATCCACGTCCAAACAATGGACCTATGGCAAGCTTTGCACAAACAATAGGAGGATCTTCGCAACCAGCAACACCACTAGATTTGTCGTAAGTTGTTTCTACTTTTGATTTTTGTACTTCCCAGGGTTTGTAGAGACCACATCTTATTACCGCAACCTTTCCCTCCTTCCTACAACAACTACTCAAATATGGGGAAAACACGTTCAAGATATGATGACCCCCCACGTCCACATTCTCCTGGAAGGTATTAAAATTCCCAAAAATCTTCAAACATACACAGTCAGGTTTTATACGTCAGAGATACAATTCATAGCTCCGTTGCATTAAGTACAGATTATACCGTCTGCTTAAACCTGTCTGAGTTTCATTATTTTCTTTCTCAACACTACAAATCTTGACAGTTGACTTTGCTCACATCATTTAGTGAATTTCCCTCACTATCAGGAAACCAGCCTCAGCACAATCAGTCAACATGGGGAGCGGCAGGAGCACGTAATATTGGCCCAGCAAATATACGGTTACAGCAATCAGCTGGATTATCCGCACAACATGCTGCGCAACAACAACAGCAACAAGACGAGCTCTTCAACTCATCAACTCAATTATCGAACAATTCGGGTGGTTTCAGATTTGGGGCTCAAAATGCAGTTGGTCAGTCTTCACAACCGAGAAGCGCAGATGATTTTCCACCTCTGGGGAATTCGAATGGAGAGATTGGCCAAGATCGAAGCTCTGGTCTACTACAAAATGTGGGGTTTGGAGCCGGTGGTGGATTGGGATTTGGTTCTAATAACCCACCACAGCAACAGCAAGCCAGGAGTAATGGTCTTTTAAGTGCATTATCCACTGGTGGTCGAGTGGCACCAGGTAATAGAATTGATTCACCAGCAAGTTTGTCAGGTGAGTAAATTGCCAATGTTGATTGGGTGATATATAATTGTCCTGCTCGGCTAATCTTATCTTTTATTCAGGCCCATCCACAAATAGATCCCCAATAGACACCAGCCGGCAAGGTTTACCACGCCTTGGAGAGAATGAAGTCGGGGTATTATAAATAATCCCTTTAATTTATTGAGCCTCTGCTGATCAATTTGTCTAGAGCTTTCCAGATACTAATTTTGGCTCGTCAAATCCAATATCACTCAGAGAAGACGACAATCAACAATTTAATATGCCTACAGCGACCAACTCTCGAGCAGATGGCCCATCAACCCTGACTCAAGCACAAGAACTCGACCCTAGTTCTCTATCAAGAAGTGCTGATAATGCGGAATCCAAAGTACAAGATCCATTAGCTCACATGAGTGATGCCGACAGATTTGGACTCAAGGGATTTTCCTATATGATGAACAATTTTCCCGACTATGCTGCTCTTGTTACTGGAACTGACATCAGCCATTTAGGCCTCGATCTGAATTCCGAGCAGTGAGTACTGGCTGGATAGCCTTCTGCCTTTCGAAACAAATATCTCAGCCATGCTAACAGTTCACAAGACCTATCTCAAGTCAAATTTACTCTTTATGGGACAACGAGCCCCCACGACCAGATGTCACTCGTTTCAACCTACCTGAATGTTATCGCGTTCTTAATGTTGCTCCTCTCGAAAGCAAGATGCCTAATTTCAACGAAGAAGCCCTATTGTTTATGTTCTACAGTAATCCGGGGGACAAGCAGCAGCTTATGGCAGCTAGGGAGCTGTAAGTAAAGTACTTGTTCCATCGCAATTCATTTACTAATACACTCTTCGCTTGATAGTGGCAATAGGAATTGGCGGTATCATAAAAAGATGCAAGTTTGGCTTACCAAGGATGATTTGATGGTTCCTCGTCAACTTACCCAACAGATGGAGCAAGGCTACTACATCTTTTTCGATGTAAAGACTTGGTCAAGACAACGAGTAAGTATAGAGATATTCTATCCCTAGTATGGTTTACTAACTTTGTTGTAGCGGGAATTCACATTATCTTACGACGACTTGGAAAGAGTCGAAGATCGGTTTTAATTTATGCAACACAACCCATAGTCAAATTCGGTCTTTTTTTCTCGACGGGCGGAATCATACATTTTCATGAATACCGCACGTATCGGTCGAAATAGCATGAATAATTTCACACGGCTAAATACATAGTATCCTCGTTTCTCTAATTAATGGCACAAGACTTGTATTTGCTACGGGGCATATATGGGGCTTGGCTTTCTTTTTTAGCGGAGTACACAGGAGGGAATAACTTGCTCTGGCTGCTAGACTCTTTTATGACTGGCTGGCGTTTCGATTATGGAGCTGCGCAAAAACTCGCTGGATAGGGGACGGTTGCGGGTATGATGGGCAGAGAGAGGGATTTGACGTAGCAATTAAATGGATTGTGCGTTACCTCATTTCAAAGTACCTTGTGATGTGATGCTGCGTGAATTGAACGTTTCTTGATGTTGATGTGCGATGATTTTGGTGTGGCAAACATAACAAGATTCTGAGTATCTAGTCTAGATATTCTCATCAGAATTGATGTCGGTTGAATCAGTTCTCCAGGTTATTTGCTCAAAGCTTGGTATCCACCACAGGCTCACAATCAAATCATATGTAATATGCTAGAATATCTCAAAATCTCTTCATTAGGATCATTACATACAAAGTCCAACAATCAAGCTACATACATACATACAATAAAATACTGTTTGAAGAAGAAGAAATTATATACACGAAAACATCAACCAACGACCTTCAAGACTACTTTTGACTCTCAAGACTGTAAAATCTCAAGTTGAGCCTCCAGGGCCTATCCATTATCAATTAGCACATCACATCGCATCACATCGTATCATATCCTCCCCGCAATACATTCCTCTTCCACCTCCACCGTCCTCACCACATCAATATGTATATCCCAGCCCCCTTCCTTTTCCTTCCGTCCTGATTCCTCCGAGAGAGACAAATAGAGATCATCATTTTCTCTCTCCTGATTCCTCGAGCGATTCCTCGACCTCGATCGATTGCGCGAGCGATCGCTGCCAAGCGATAATTTATCTCGTCGCACAGAACCCAGGATATTGCGGCCTAGGTTCGCGATATTGTGGGTGCTGTTGAGGACTGGATTGCTGTTTAGCGGTGAGATGACGGATGCGGTTCCGATGTGCATTTCCTCATCTGCGATGATCGGGCATGTGCTGCTTGTTTTGCTCGATTTGCTCGAGCGGTTTGTGTAGGTGCCGAGTTCGAAAATGCTCGTTCCGATGGTTTGGTCGAGGTCGGTGTCGTTGTCGTAATGGGTGTCTTCTTCGCTTCCGTAGAGGGGAATTTGGGAGCTTTGATTGCTGAGGACATTGGAGTTGGAGTTGGAGCGTGATTTTGATTTAGGGAGAGAGTGCGTGGATTGGGAGGTGGATGTGATGCCGAAGCCGGAAGGTGGGACTGGGATACTCTTGAAAATATTTGGGGCACTGAAAGAAGATTGAGAGGGGCGAGAGGGGTGGGAATTAAAGATTTTGGGAATGTAGGTTGCGAAGAAGACTTTGGTGGCCGGAATGGAGGTGCATATCTAGTTGGGAAGTGTTAGGATCCGGAAGTATAGGAAAGGAGAGCATTGAGACACTTACAATTCCAACATATAATTCTACAGCTGCAGAAACCCATACGGGGAAAGAAGCCCATACTTGATCATATGTTTGTGTTACTTGGTACATGTAGTATGTACGAATGACACCTGCAAAACATGATAGGAAACCGAGGGTGAAGAGGAAAGAGACGATGAGGGTTTGACGACGGGGGAGATTTGTTGAGTACTATTTTGTTCTAGTTAGAATTTGGTTTTTGGATGAGGAGAATGAGATGACTAACCACTGTACGGATGGGAAGGATGACCACGAGAAAATCTGTAAGAGTGTTGATAATTCCGGCGAAAAGGAGTGTAGAGGATTGATCTATGCAGTTTGGTTGGGGCTCGTCTGTTATTTTCCAGTAATCCTGCGGGGGTCTATGATGTTTTAGTATGTAAATCATTGCACATCTCGACACTTGCCCCCTCCGTTGGCATATCAAACATAAGGAAGAAGCAATGATTTTAACTAACCTACATTGAAACACCAACACAATACAAAATAAGGCTCCTTGTAACCCTACTATGCAAATAGCAGCCAGAGTCACCCGTCTCCAGAATATCGTGGCACTGGTTAACATGCGACGAACAAGCATTAACATGGATAATTTGGTGAACGTGCATGCTGATGCGAACATGATCTCTATCAAGAGGACCATCTTCAGTCCAAATTCCACATGTGAGCTTGGGATGTCGTACTAGATTATTGTTAGTGATGGTTACAGACAAGGGTTTGTATGGTGAGAGGGGTGTATACTTGATGTCTGGTCCACATGAATTTCAAATCTGCCAGCAGACTCAGAACAAAGAACCCGGTCGTAGGAATCTACATCATCATGACATTAGCATCTCCAATCGTATAATATCACACCAATCTTCTTTGCACGCGCAGACTCTGGCCTGAAGAATAGGTAAAACCAACCATAGCAAATAAGATCATCATGTCATCCGCCCCAAAAGAAGCCCTCAGTCTTGTCCTCGTCCATATCCTCAGTGAAATAAAGCAACAAAGGACTATGTATAACACGATATTCAGAATAACATTCCCCCATCCATGTGTTTCTGGATCGACATAATTGGGCTCAGGCCAAGCGGCTATTACCCAGGCGGGAGGTTTTTGCATGTTGCAAGTGGTCTCTGCGACTTCAGACGTAAAAAAACTCGTTGGAGATCGAAAGGAAAGGGAGATATAATGTAGATCCAAAAAAAGACTGCAAAAGATTGTGGAGTGAATGAGACACTACTAGCTTTCTCGAATTCAATAGATAGTGGGAAGGGTTCAAAAGAAAGTAAGATGCATCTCATATCAATACGTCAAGCGAAGACAAAGATGTATATGTAAATAGGACCAGTATTAACCAGTAAGAGAAATTAGAGACAGCAATTAGCAAAAGTAAGAACGAGAAGAGAAAGAGAGGGAAGTAAACATTTCCACGAGGGTACTACGGCGATTAAAGCCGAACGGTCTGCGGTTAAGCATTTTCGCTGTGCTGTGACCAGCCTCGATTCCATGAAAAGCGCATTCCATCTTTTTCACTTAGACCAGTCCTGCAATTCATCTTCTTACCAAGTTACCACATCTACAGAGTACGACCTTGCCGTGCCGCTGATACGGAACCATCATTGGCCACTTGGGGGCCACTTGGGGGCAATGAGGAAGAACATGCGGAGAATCCTTACAATCTTATCTTTCATCCAATCCGGGTGCAGAAAGAGAACTCTCAAACGATGGATCATGGGGGTAGATATCTTAGAATCTCCGATGGATGGCATAATTTATAATAAAGACTCCGTGCAGAATTCGGGTGGATGTCGCACATGCACCTGCGCATGCATCAGTGGCAATGCAAATAGCAATCACACAGACACAGATATATATCAGACCCTGCTTCCCCCGCCGGTTTTCTAAGCCTCTGACTCTAGACTCTAGAGCATCAAGGCCTCGGTTTTAATACCACATGAGATGGGAAATTGGTTCGATTTTGATCTTAAGCTTCACACTATTGAGAATATTTTTTTTGGTCAGTGGCTCAGAAAGTATTTGAGACTTGAGATGAAAGGGAGATTGTGATAGGCAATGATGTCTGTGTGTCTGCGCTATTGAAGGCTCTCGGACTAAAACTTTCAATAATGACTCGAGAGAACAACGTGGTGTCGTACATATGGATTTGATTCAAATCGAGGCTTTACAATGCGGCGCTGATTACCCTAGTGTTTTACATCTTCACTTGTAGTCTTGGGCTACATTTCAATATTCAGGTACAAGGACGGTATTTTGGTTCAAAGGTATCTCGCGTGATTGATTTTTCCATACTTGCGGTAAGAACAGTTCTAATCATGAAGAAAAGTTCATAAAATCCATAAGCCATGACCAATAAAGGCAAGGAAACAATGATATTCCATTACACATAACCGCCCTTTCATAAATGTCGATATATCTATGAAGCTTTCTTTGCGAACTCGACTCGTAAAATCAAATGCTTGAAACCATAGCCATCCATTTTTTCGCAAGCCTTTGCAGCATCTGATCTTTCCTGGAAACTAATGAATGCAAAGCCCTTTGCCAAACCAGTTTCTCTGTCCTTTGCCAAAAAGACTCTTGTGACTCTGCCGAAACGTTCGAACATATCCCGAAGTTCTTGTTCCTCGGCCATTTCTGAGACCTAATCTGTGGATTAGCGAAGGAAAATAAGTTAACAGAAAATAGAGAACTTACATTAGTGACACGTAGAGTAGCCAAATCATCTCTCTCGAACTTGCCGCCACCCATTCTCTCACCACCAGCAGTACCGCCATTTCTGAGATGGGGTGGTACGTATGAAGATTTGCCAGCACCAAGACCACCTGGACCCTCTGGAGTATCTGCGTGACCAGCTGCAACATCGACTGCTCCTTCCTCGCCCAAAGGTGCCATTGTGCCTTTGAAAGGACACTTGGCTGTGAAATGCTCTCCGCTACAAATACGACATTTGACTTGCTTGTCCTTCAACTTGTTCTTCATAGCTCCGGCATCCGAAACCTCCTCCTTGGCATCCTTTCTCCAGTTTGTGCTTGGTCTGAATATAATGTTCTCTCCTACACTGGTTGTATCCGAAGCAGGCTGAAGTTATAAACAAATCAGTCAACATTTCCCCCTAGATTGGAACCCTTTTGAACTCACCCCTGCAGCATCCTTTTGGGACAATCCGAATTTGCTCCAGGACTTTCTCTCAGCGACTCTTGGGTTCACGATTTCTTTGACTTTAGTGAATCTGATGCGGCGAGTAGTCTTGACCTTCTTTCCATCATCGTTGAATCTCCAGGTTACAATCGTTTGTGTGCCATCTTTATTGGTAGTGGTGGTTGACTGTGGGAGCTCGTTAGAATCCTCGAGATCCTCATCATCAGCCCAATCGCGATTACTATGGCATTTGTTAGATTATGCTGAGGCTTGGTTAAAAATGGCGAATTTTCTCACTTTGCGACTCTAGACATTTTTTTGATAGGTGTGCTTTTTGCCTTTGTAGGGTGATGCAATGCGCTTATCACGACCCCAAGATACGAGCTTTTTGCTGTATCAAGCTCCCTTAATTATCTCTGCGAAATTTCGATGGCAGAGTGGTTGATCGTGACTTCGATTGTGGGGTGGTTCGATGTTCAACGTGAAGTTCTTATTTAAAATATCGCTTTGAGTGGGTGGGCAAATTTGCTAGGGCGAGCTTTCGTTATCCAATAATTGGTCTAACCACTTCCGGCACTAGCGGGGTAATATACAGCCTTGTCTTGCTCCCCTCGCACCCATTCAAGGCTTCAATGCTTTCAAAGCATTCCACCACAGTCTTTTGACTCATCTGGACAGATTCCATTTAACCTGATAAGTACCGGTCTTGTAAGGTTACTAGTAGTATCATTGAGGTAGTATTGTGGCAAGTCTCATTGAGTAGGCAATTCTAATAGTTCAATGAGCCTGCCAGCCATAAGGAGGGATCGCATGCTATCTCTGTCAAGTTGTTAATCATCTCTGAGTTGGCAAAAGAAATGCGCAACTATTTTCAAGTTTAGACCATTGATCAATTCATTATGGTATTCAAGTAACATATCTTATCTTATTTTTAACTCACTCGAAAGGGCGGAGCATGAGCCTCATGCAAAGTCAAACATCAGTTTAAAGTAGAGCACAAAAGAGTCATCAATGTCAAGTGTAATTAGATGTTGGGATTTTTGAAATGAGTCATGAGAGGGGATGTCATATTATTCGTCGTCTTATCCTAATTTTTATACACAGCTAGAGTAATGCCATTTTCCGTAATCTTGCCTCATAACACATTCCCTGAACGCTCAAATCTAGCGAACAGTATTGGTTGCTCTAACGCCTTTTTTCCCAAAGCTATGAAGAGTAAAAGAAAGGAGTATTTATGACAAGGGAAATTGTTGCCTATATGCAACATATGAGTACAAAAATACAATGAACGGTAGTTCTATGTGTGCCCCTGGATATCGCTAAAAAGAGTTGAGATGAAATATGCCTATATTAATGTTTTCAAGGCTTCTTCTCGCCGTCCTTAGCCTCGCCTTCTGATGCGCTGCCCTCGGTACCTTCTGACTTGGCCTCACCGGACTCGGCGCGGGCCTTGTGCATCTTATCGAAGAGGTTCAAGCTAGCCATTTGGAGCTCATCGGTCTTCTCCTTCAACTCAGCAGCAGTGGCAGTACCTTCTCCGGACTGACTCTTGCTGACGAACTCACGGAGTGCGGTAATCTTCTCACGGATACCATCAGCCTCGGTCTTGTCGAGTCTGTCGGCGAATTCGTTCAAAGCCTTCTCGGTGTCGTTGAGAACACTGTCAGATCTGTTGGCAGCCTCGATAGCAGCCTTGCGCTCCTTATCAGACTCGGCATATCTCTCAGAGTCATCAACCATGTTTTGGATCTCAGCATCAGAAAGACCAGAGCCGGAGGCAATGGTGATGGAGTGATCCTTGTTGGTTGACTTGTCCTTGGCGTGGACGTGGACGATGGCGTCGGCATCAATGTCAAAAGTGACCTCAATTTGAGGAACACCTCTGTGAGCAGGTGGGATACCAACAAGTTGGAAGTTTCCGAGCATCTTGTTGTCGCGGACAAGTTCCCGCTCACCTTGGTAAACCTTGATCTCGACAGCAGTTTGAAAATCGGCGGCGGTAGAGAAGATTTGAGATTTCTTGGTAGGGATGGTAGTGTTTCGGTTGATCAATCTGGTGAATACACCTCCGAGGGTCTCAATACCAAGAGACAATGGGGTGACATCCAAGAGAAGGACATCGGTAACGTTTCCAGCGAGAACACCACCTTGAATAGCGGCACCCATGGCAACTGCCTCATCTGGGTTGACGGACTTGGCGGGGTCACGACCAAAGATGGACTTGACTGACTCGCTGACCTTTGGCATACGGGTCATTCCACCGACCAAGATAACTTCTTGAATATCCTTAGCGGCGAGGTTGGCATCCTTCAAAGCCTTTCTTACTGGCTCGATAGTGCGGGTGATCAATGGATCGACGAGTTTCTCGAGTTGAGATCTAGAAAGCTTTTGGTTGATGTGCTTTGGTCCAGAAGAGTCGGCAGTGATGAAAGGAAGATTGATATCAGTTTGCATAGAGGAAGACAACTCGATCTTAGCCTTCTCAGCGGCTTCACGTATACGCTGAATGGCCATACGATCACCGGAGAGATCAATGCCGGAATCCTTCTTGAATTGTTGAACCAAGTGGCGAACCAAGTGGATATCGAAATCTTCACCTCCCAAGTGAGTATCTCCGTTGGTAGACTTGACTTCGAAAACACCCTTTTGGATCTCGAGGACAGAGATATCGAAAGTACCTCCACCCAAATCGTAGACAGCGATGATCTTGTCCTCATCCTTCTCCAATCCGTAGGCCAGAGCGGCAGCAGTTGGCTCGTTTACGACTCTGAGAACGTTCAAACCGGCAATTTGACCAGCATCCTTGGTGGCTTGACGTTGGGAATCGTTGAAGTAGGCTGGAACGGTAACAACGGCATTTTGAACAGGCTTGGTAAGGTAAGCCTCAGCGGTTTCCTTCATCTTTTGCAAGACGAATCCACCAATTTGCGATGGAGAGTATTTCTCGCCGCGAGCAGAAACCCAAGCATCACCGTTTGTGTGTTGAACGATCTTGTATGGAACCTCCTTGATGTCACGTTGAACCTCAGCGTCAGTGAACTTTCGTCCGATCAAACGCTTGGTTGCGAACAAAGTGTTCTCTGGGTTGACAACAGCTTGACGCTTTGCAGACACACCGACCAATCTCTCACCATCTTGTGCGAAAGCTACTACGGATGGAGTTGTACGGGCACCTAGGAATCGAATTAGTGCGGGTCAACAGCAGTGAAATTGGGAGGTAGTAATTACCTTCTGAGTTCTCGATAATTTTAGCAGTTTGCCCTTCCATCACAGCAACCGCTGAGTTTGTGGTACCTGTGAAGAGATTAGTATGTGATTCGAAAAAACTTGCTTGCCACTACGTGGAATAAACATACCTAAATCGATACCAATGACTGGTCCTTTGACCTTCTTATCCGCATCATCTGAGTTCCATCGTCTAGCAAACGATGATCCTAATGGTGTGCGGAGAGGTGCTGTGCGTGTGACGGATGAAGTTGCTCTTGGAAGCTATTGAGCAACAAATGTTAGCTTTTGTGTTGATAATGTCATAGCAGTTACTCTGCTTCAATTCGAAAACTTACAGCTCTGGAAATTCTGGAAGCAAACATCTTTATTTGTATTGCTTCTATAATACAGGAAACTCAATTGTAGAAGTAATATGAATTAAGTATGAGAAAAAGGAATGGGTAGAAGAAAGGTGTGAGTAGATGATTAGCAAGATTGAGGCGATGGAGGGAGAAAATATAATAAATCAACGGCGGGCCACAATGAAAAAATGTCATTTTTAGTTTTAGCGTCTTTTTCTTGGTCAATTGGTAGAACATCATCGAAACCACAAGCACGTGCTCGAATGCAAAGACACACGGACACATTTGGTGTGGCAAGGATTATGAGGTTATCAGGTTATCGAATATGTGCTTATGTCATTATCCACTCAGAATGCGGGATAGAATAGTTGCCGAGACTAGTGAACTTGACGTCGTGAAATGAATATTGAAACTTTGAGCTTGTCATATATCAATCACAACATCTGTTTCTGTATCTCCTCAATACACTTTACAGTTTGGAAACCTTCAAATTATCCCTTCTATCAAAAGAATAGGAGTCTGTTGAAAGACCACATATGAGCGCATAATTAATATTCAGTATCTTCACAGTTTAATCGCAGCCTGCTACTTGAATACTTGGTTTACATCCTGTTGTGCATGGCTGCAATATCTTGAATGCATGACAGTATGGCTGTCAAAGAAGAAAGCTCGTGAGTTTGTACAACGTAATGCTCGTTATGACTATTCAGTTCTGATTCGCATTCTGATCACTTGTACTTTGATAGATATCATCCTACTGATGACCTAATTCGATTGTCGCCACGGAGATACTATCGAGCCTCCATTAGCCCAAGGTACGGAAGATACTCTGTTTGCGCATTCACGTTCGAAACAGATCCAAAGATGTTGAAGTTTTTTCGTTGCTGCAGAATTGTTGAAGGCTTCCATCAACTACTGTTTCTTATAAAAAAATCAGTCGGAATTACACTGCCTTCCATAGCAGTTGCTAGTATCTGCCGAATAGATTGATGGGGTTTCTAACTTCTTATAGTCATTGGCAATTGCACGATTTGCTGAGCTCTCCGAAACAGTATGTTATTTACTACCCGAGTTCGCACGACATAATCTGTCTCGATACAAAATCTCGCGAGCGCGAGCTCCTCGCAACTTTAAAATACGAGCCGCGATGTTTGACGGCCGTAAAGGATTGGGTATGCGCCGGAGGAGATAGAGGACAATTCACAAGCTTTTATGTGGGAGAAGGAGAGAGACCTGGAAAGACTGATTCGCTTTTGGATTTGAGCGCTGATGCCGATGCTCGATTACCTCTCATCCTACAACCGTCAGCAAGACCAACTCAAAGGGAATCCACCGATGACTCCCGAAGATCTAGTCCTGATGCTACCACTCCGCATGTGTCCAAGAAGATAGGTTCCGACGTAGTAAACTGTATAACACTTTGGTTCCCTTCAGAATCATCGTTGCCCATGGCATACAAGGAACCTGTTGCTGTTGCAGCGCTCAACGACAGTTCTGTTGCTATACTCAACTTACATGACTCCGAGATGATGGATGCTCTCACTTATCCTGATTATGTGAACCGCGCTGTAATATCACCGAAAGGGAGTATCCTCATTGCAATGTATGCTCCTCAAGTTCACTAGACGTTGACACTTTATTAATTTGAAATAGATGCGATGATCCATTCCTATATATCCACAAAAGGCAGCCGAAACAGGTCTCAAAGACTCATTTTACTTCGCATATGAATGAGGAGTATGAGTGGGTATTTTCAGGCAGGATTCAGCTCGAAGGACAACGACTATCGGACAAAAGTGCCATGAGAGGTTCATTTGCAGCATGCTTTTCTAATTCGGGCAAATATCTTGCTGTGGCCACTCAATATGGACTTATATCGATATTCTTGACCGAACAACTAACTAGAGACGATGTCGATCCTTTGGAAGTTAGTTTTACTACATCACGACCTAATGTTGAATCTGGGGCTGTTAGAGCCATGGGATTCTCACCAAATAATTTTGATTTACTCGCTTGGACTGAAGCTAGCGGACGTGTTGGAGTAGCAGATGTCCGGGATTTGTTCACTTCCAGGCAGGTAATCGATATAAATTCTCGCGGGGAGGGCGTTGAACGAGTCTGGGTTACTGAGCGCTCAAATAATACTCTGTCAATAGAGGCTAGGCTAGATGCAAGGCTTCGTGCTTCTCACACAGAGTCACCTTCTGAGGCTTCTACCAGCGCAATGCCAGACTACCTAGGCTTGGATTTTGATCAGCAACAACTAACGAGCCTGGCCCGTGATTTGACAAACAGACACCAACTCTCACCAACTGCTGACGAGATGGAGATATTACAGGCACATCGAACAGCTCGTCGACAAAGGGATGCAATCCGTGAGGCCCGAGAAATGGGAACCACCTCTAGATGGGGCATTTTGGAAGGAGGTAGAATCACAGATATTTTTGCTGACACAGAACGCCGCATATCTACAGCTGGTCTCCCAAGTGCTTTACGAGAATTTGTCAATTCAGACCGAACGCCGGCTTCCTTTCGAGCCTTCATAGAAAGACAGAATCAGGACCGTGAAAGGCGTGTAGTACAGAACGAAATTAGGAATGTGATCAGGCGACAACAAGCATCATCAGTATTAGATAATACCACCGTGGATGCCGAGTCTGACAGAACCGTACGGACAAGTGCAGATACCTTTTCTGGGTTAGAGCGTCTGTCACTCGCTCCTCGTCTTCCAACCATTGGCTATGAAGCAGCCCCTAATGCTTGGGCTGAACTTGAAGAAGTGTATCGAACACGGTACTCTCGAGATCAACCTGAAGAGGAAGAGGAGGAGAATCAAGCATCCACTCAAAGATCAAGACAGCCATGGCGTCCCTTGGATGCGCTTACTAGACTTAGTCTTGACGTGAGGAACGATAGTAATATATTGAGACGAGAGCGAGAGAGTAGGAGTGAGCCAGTGGACACCATGGGACTCGCTTGGAGCGAAGATAGTAGGCTACTGTATGTGCTTTTGTATGTTTTCTCATATTAACAATGCTAACCATTCACAGATATGTTGGTGCAGGAGATGGAATTCATGAATATCAAGTGAATGTGGCGGGACGAAAACTATTTCCTCATCGTGTATTACAATAGTTGTATAATGAATGAAATTTGGAAGGTCGTTTTGGGAAATGGGAGGGGATCGGAGTCTGGAAATTTATTGGCATGGCGCATACCAGAATGTCCATGAAATAATTTACTTATGAAGTACAAAATCTGACTCTTAAAAGTCTTCTATCGAATTAATAATAATATATACAAAATTTCAAGTCAATGCCTCAATTATCTCTATTTCTCAGGTATGAGAGCGAACCAAGCAAAGAAGGCAAGCATCCCGAATATGCTTGATCGAGGGTCATGTGACACGGTACTTCCTAAACTAAATAGAAAAATGCGTACCTGGTACATGTCTTTCTAGGTAGGAATGTGAATACAAGTATATAAGCTCCGTGTCAACCCAATTCTATATTGCTGACTTGCCAAAATCTATCTTCTCTTCCAACTTTTCTCCCTCATAAATTAAAACGAGAACGAAATCATCGTTATGGAATCCAATGCTCTTCAATTTTATCAACCAGGATTATTGTTCGAGACTCAGGAGTCCACTGTCTGTTCTACGATCCGAAACTATTTACACATGCTCACAGTACCAAGCCATCCAAGCTTAGCTTTTGGAATATAGACAATGAGACTAATCACAAAGCGTAGGATCGATTCCCAGATGAATCACAGACTTATAAACGATTTATAGAGATTATTAAGAATTTTCATGAAGATGTGGAAATGCCACGCGAAATTCTTGAAGCAACAGTTGGAGAGATTTTGAAAGGCCATGATGATCTGATTCAAGAATATCAGCGAATCTGTATACTTTTCGATGAACGAGATGATTTTGAGCTGGCGAGGAAAATAGTAGAAGAGGAGGAGAAAGAAGCGCTTCGGATAATCGCAAGTGCGAAAAGACAAGCTGCGCACATACGAGCTTACAAGACGCAGAGAAAATCCACGCTTCTGCGTCTTCCGAGGGAAATTAGAGATACGATTTGGAAGGATGTCGTGCAGGGGAATATAGTGCATATTTCCCGGGTTGAAGATGAAAATGCTTCTTCGTCGTCGTCGATATCTTTTAAGTATCATTCGTGCGTGGCGACCACCGGACTCAAAAGTTCGGCCTGTCCGGCGGGAGAAGGAGATCATGCGTTGTGCGCGAGAACTAGTCGCTCGGATTTCCCTTCTCATCGTTTGGTGTGCAAACAGATGAATCTGGAGCTTCCCGAAGCGAGAGCAACTTTCTTTGCGAAGAACGCGTTGCATTTTGATAATTTGGAGGATGCGCAGGAGTTTGTTTTCGGGTTGAAGGAAAGGGATCGAGCGGCGATTACGCATATTAGATTACCGGTTCCGTATTCGTTGGCGATGAAGGATTGTGATGAGGGAATGGAGTTTAGAGCTTGGGAAGCGATTATGAATTATTTTAGTTGTCCCTGGGTTCGATCAACAGTATGTGTTTTTTTCTCTTCTCTCTTTTCTTCGATTTTTTGGGGCTTGTCTGTTTTATCGGAGCTATGAATACTGATTTACTTTGTCATACCAGCTCCATCTATATGACAACACTTCAAGGTTTTGGAAAAGACCATGGTGCTTCAAATATTCCGCCTGTTATTACCGCGAAAACAGGGATCGAATGTACAAAAAATGGCAAGTCTCATTCGGTGACTCGAGTTGGGATATTGATATTGCATCTCTCCGCTACAAAGCCGAGCCCAGAATCGATATCGGGATGAGCTATCCGGAAGTCGGCGAGTTATTTTCTTCAGCTCCTCTTCTTCGTCTCTCCCCCTTTCTTTCAATTCGTCAATTAATCCCCCATCCCTGCCTTCCCTTTTCTTACTAACGCCCCCCTCTCCTCTAGCACAAAGCACCTTCTTCCGTCCCCGTCCCCGCAACCACATCCCTTTCTCAACACGATTCGACAATCCCGCACCATGGATACGCTCTCTCCTCCAATTCCGTCAATACTCCGGACTGAATTTTCATTTCTGGGCCTCCAATCCCATTTCTAAAGAGAATGGAATTCTGCGTGTTCCTCGACACGAAGCTTTTATAGCAGCCTTGCAGGAAGAAGTATCGCGCTCAGAAATTGGTCCCTGGAAAATCGTGCAGTTTAGACGGAAGCACTTTGGTAATCCGGATGTGGCTTCTTTGAGGAATTTGTAGGGGTTGGGGATAGGGTACGGAGGGAGAGCAGTTTGGATGAGGTAATATCGCTTGTATTTATAATTAGAGATTTGAATGGCTATGAATTGCCTGGAAAGCTGTGCATGCCTTCTTCTGTCAACCTCCCCCCCCCGCCCCGTTCATATAAACTCAAATGGGTATTAATCTCCTTGGAAACTTCCCTTCCATTTCTCGCTTGATTTCTCACCCTCATTTAACTGTGGGATTTTAACATTTCCTCCGCATTTCCTCCGCATTTCCTACGCATTTCCATCACTATTGATCAATCGACATCTCCCCCAACTTGGGACATTCGCCCTCCACATTTCCTTCATTATCAACCGGCATCTTCCCCACTTCAGAGCATTTCGCTCTCCTATAAATCATATAGACTCTTTAAACCCTACAATCCCATAACCCCAAATCCACCTCCAACCATCAACACACCCCAAATTACCCACGCTCCCCCACTTCTCATTCTCTCCGCGCCACCCTCACTAATCGTACTCGGTGTACTCGTTCCCGTCGCTGTTCCCGTCGCCGTCTTTGAACTACTCGTCCTCGACACCGTCGATGTTGCAGTACTACTACTAACCCCCGTCACCCCCAACAACGACGACAAACTCCCCGTAACACTTCCACTTCCACTCCTTACCGTCCCATTTCCCCCACTTTCACTCCCAGAAGAAGCCGTAGAAGTACTCCACACAGTCGTTGTTCCCGTCGGGGTCGGAATCGGCGTCACCGTTTCCGTCGTGCTAGTTACCCATTCCCCCGTATCTATCCCCGTTTGCGATGTCATCTGCGGTACCGGAGTAGGTATCCCCGACAATATCGACGGCAAAGTAGAAGCCGAAACCGAAGCCGAAGCGGGAAAAGAAACCATCTCTGGATTTATCGTTCCACAATTCTGTTCTTCGGTTTCTTGACATACTTTCTGAGCAGCGGGATCATCTACTCCGGCTGCAATACATTCTGAATAGATATATTCGCAAACGAAAAATGGGATTGTGGAGGTGTAGAGTTGGAGAGCGGGAGAGGAGTTGGAAGTACAGGTGCAGGAATAGCAGAGGGAGTTCTAGGGTGTGTGTTAGGGGTTGAGGGAAGATGTGTATGAAGGGAGAGATTTGAGATGGGATGAGAGATGATGGATACGTACTATATCACATGTATTTTCATCTGTAAATCCACCGCATAGGGTTTCGCAGGTGTTGATTTGAACTTTGCACCATTGATCTGGATAGAATTAGGTTTTCGGATTCTCATAGTGCATTCTAATAAATTATAACATAACGAAAATAAATTAAACCACTCACAACGTGTAGCATCGTTAACACTCCTCGGATCAATCTGCGTTTGACAAATTGGAGATACTCCTCTCACCACCATCGCAAATTGTGCGACGAAACTTATAACTCGCAGGACTTTCATGATGAAGATCTGTGGACTTCCACTTGAAGAACTATATGAATTGTGAAGAAAAATTAATAAACGATTAAATCTTGAATTTCCCAAGCACTTAAACAGTGCAGTGACAACGAGCGCGATGATTTGCAAAACGTAAAGAAGTAATATAAAACCACCCGTTATATCGTATGTAAAAAGAGAACCCCAGTACAGTAAAACGAATGACGAACAAAAATTGCGGCGAGGGAATATATCTCTGCATGTGTATATATCTATATATATAGATAAAAATTCAAAGCCAGCGCAGTCGGATGGATTCCTACGATAGTAACACATGCATCCCTCCCACCTCTTTCGAATTTCAATAAAGATTAATCCAAACCAGTCCAAATCAGACCGCCCTCCTCAAAAAAATCAACAAAAACCCCCGGGGAATTCCTGACATTCATGTATTTCTCATCCAAGAGTGGATTGGACAGGACTGGAGTGCCTCGCAAATTGTATATCCATCCACACGATGCGGTACGAGATACACAGCACAGAGATTTATGTAACCTTAATTAAACCGTTAGAGACAATATACCGGTGTACCTGTTTTGCGGTTGTGCATCTGGATATTTTTTGTAAGTGGCTTGCTTGCTTACTTATGTATTTATCTCTTCCTAATCTACTTACCTATTTCCTTACTTATTTGTGAAGCTTTCGTTCGTGCTGGGGCCCTCTATGGATAGCTATCTGCAATGCTGACATGAAATGACTGACAGGACTCCCACTTCTTTAAGCACGCGGGTGAAAAAAATTGAATTTGGTACCTACCTATCCTCGTATCCAGGCCAGGTACACCTGCATCTGTGAAAAAACTCCAAATTCAAAGTGTGCACGACAGATTCAAATCAAGAGCATGGTCGGAATACGAAGTCCCCCCCATCCATCCACCCATCCATATCGACATCTCCACATCCAGGATCCACGAATCATCAGACGCCCTGCCTGCGCACCATCAACGGAAACATATCCATTTCGGGAAATCTTGCCGTTGCAGATGGGTTTCTGGATTTGAGGTGTGCCTGCAGAATCTAGATGCAGATGCAGATTGGATTCCGATGTATGCGCGGTCGCTCGGGTCCTTGAATGGGATGGGGACCGAAGCGAAGGGTATGAGAGTACGAGGGAGGGTACCGAGTTGGAAGGAGATGGGATGGGATGGGATGAGATGGGATGAATAATTATGATAGTGTTGGATGGTTTGTAACTTGTGAGACTCCGTGCAGGGCAGACAGTATGGTACTATATTGCTAGCGTGGAGATGCGGGCGCAGGTACGAGATGAGTTGGGTTTTGGGGGGAGGGAAAGAGGTTTGATGGATGGTGTGGGGAATCATGAATGAGGGAGGAAGTGTGTGTGAATGTGTAACCATCCATACCTACCATCCATCCATCCCTCTCTTTCTATCATTACAACCAAATCATAGCTCAAGATTTCCCAATCCCCGATACGTCACAGTATATCTATTTAATGCTTATAGAGACTATATTATATATCAAAGGTCTTACTTTGCTTTTAATCCATTACTCTCAATACATTCCGGCTTATCATCATAAATTAAACCTCACCCCGTGATATAAATCATTCTTCATCAGATCCGCTATTCTTGCATACAGCAGTAACCTTACATTCGCACTCACCTTATGTATGAACGCACATCATCCTCTCAACCCCAAAGCAAAGCAACAGTCCGATTTGGACATGAACATAACATATATCATAATATTAAATTTCCAATTCATAACTTCTGAGCCCAGCAACTCAGCTTATCTCTAGTAAATATCTCCAAAAAGATATTCTTCATCCTTTCCTCTCATCACCAAATCCGATTTACCAGCCGTCAAACACAAACTCCTTTCCCAAATCCCATATTTATCCAACATTTCCCACATACACACATGAACGAACCCGACTCATTATCCAACCCTCTCAGCAACTATTTCCCCTCCCTCCCCAACCCCACCTCCCCCGCCTTCCCCATCTCAAAACTTCCACTCCCACTCCCTTGTTCCCCCACCCTCCCCTCCAACGCCCTCTCCTCCGCCTCCCTCTCCCCCAAATCCCCCGCCAAACTCTCCACCTCCTCATCCTCATCCTCCTCCGGCAACCCCAAATTCAACGCCACAGCCACAAACGCCGTGACCGCAAACCCCGTCTCCATCACCAAAACAATCGCATCAAAGAATCCCGCCTTCGCCCTATTATCCCCAGTATACGTAAAAACGTACGAAAACCACGTGGGCACGAGCGTCGCTCCATATCCCAACGCCAAACTCGCCGTCAGGATAAATCTCGTTCTCCTCGTAAACGGCACGGTCGAGATGATTCTCAGACCCGAGACCGCTACACTCGCGAAGAGGAAGGTCGTCATGCCGCCGAGAACCGCATTCGGGATTGACGTGATCGCCGCTGCGAACTTGGCAAAGACACCCATGACGACGAGGAAAAAGCATGCGGCGAACCCGGCTTTGCGGTTGGCGCAACGCGTTAAGGCGATGACTCCGTTGTTTTGAGCAAAGGTTGACATGGGGGTGATGGTGCAGAGGCCGGCTAACATGCCATTAAGACCATCTGCGAGGACACCTCCTTGAATACGCGAATCGAAGAGGATACCGTCGACTTGGAGACGAGATACATCGCAAGTGGCGGTAATATCACCAATAGCTTCCATCATGAGGATGAGGTAGATAGCTAGAAGAGGTAATATGAAAGGACCGTAGACGCTCAGTGGGAAAGTCTTAACCCAGATAAAAGAAGCGACCGGAGCTGCTTTAATTCCACTGCTGTCGAAATAGCCACATGCAGCTGCGATAATGCAACCGACCAAAAGACCGAGAACCACAGCGAGAGATTTCATAATTGGCGATCCGAAACGTTCGCAAATGATAATAGTGATGAAGACCGAGAAACCAAGACCGATAAACTCAGCAGATCCCCAAGGAAGTGGATGCGGTGCAGCATTAGAAGGGCAAAACATATAATCCCCCGAAGTAGGTCTCGACATACAAGTTCCACTTCCTCCAGCCCAACCTTCCAATCCCGTCAGGATAAGCGAAACACCAATCAGCATAACCGTTGGACCCGTAACAATCGGTGCGAAAAGTTTCTTGAGAAGTTTAGGCGTCATAAACGAGAGTCCTATTTCGAGAAGTGCACATAATGACGCTGTTCCAAGTAATGCACCATAACCCTCCGGACAAGGTAATGGCGTTCCATCTTCCGCCGTTTTACACATACCATTTGCGTACATTTGTGAGAATCCCTTTGAAGCAAGAGGAATAATGGCAAACGAAGTACCCACGACCGAGATCAAACCCGTACCAATATAATAAGGTGTTTTCATAATCTTGAACCGAGTGATCTGAACCGCAGATAGAACACCCGACACAATCAGAGAAGTAGAAACGAGATATTGAGTAGTTTTCGTGTCGAAATATGCGGATCCGGCTATGAGAATAGGAGGGGTAATAATACCAGCTAACATAGCTAGAGCATGTTGAAATCCGAGAAGAAGACCTAGTAATACTGGCATACGATCTTGGAGGCCGAAAAAAGGAGCTCGTCTTTTGGATTTCTTCATGAAGGGAAGATTGGGTTTGAAGAGAAAAGCTATGATGATTTAGTTTTGGAATCATTTATGAGAAAACTGAAGCAGAGAGGACGAGATGAAAGAACATCCCATCTCATCCCCAATTCAAATTTCAAACCTACCATAATCATAATTCCCCACCAACCCCTCCTTCGTCGTAAAAGCCCTCACAGTCCCCCTCACCCTCTCACCCATTGTCCTCTCCCTCGAATTCTCAGGCACAATTCTATCCGGTCCATCCTGCGGTCCACTATCAATCGTAACCGCCATTATATCTCTTTCCACGACACAATTGTCGAGTATCAATCAACTAATTTCGAAGTTGCGTTGCGGTTAAGTAAGGCTATTACTCGCGTAGATAGCTTCTTTGACGACGATCTCAAAGTCAAAATCGGAATTCCAAGCTAGGTAGATACTAGATCGTTCTATCGTGGAGTCCAGAGAATTAAACGCAGTGGAAGGCACTTGAACAAATGCAATAAATCCAATGCAAATAAGACAACATAACAGAACAAAACACAATGATAGCAATTTAAAAAAAAAGAAAAGAGGATCGTCAACTCTATATATCCTCTCCACCCAACCCCAACCACAGCTCTCGCCGATAAGTAAGTATGCGAATAAATATAAATTAACCCCCGAGGAAAAAATCGGAGACATCCACTTCCACTCCGGACGGAAATCCCAAGAAACTGAAATCCAATCTGTAGTTTGTAAATTCCAAGCTGCCAGTATCATATCATATCACAGGAAGGAAGTCTAGCTCGCCCCCCTCACAAACAATAGGTTAATCTAGTATCGTACACACTAGGTTACCCAGCTCAACCCACCCATCAAATTTCATTCATTCTCCACGCCTAGATACGACACCAGCACCCACACCCCATCTCCCCCCCCAAACCCAGTCACAATTCCACAAACCCTCACTCTAGATTCCCAATTCCCACCAGCACCAGCACCAGCACCAGCAAGACAAAATAAAAAATGGAGTCCGCCCCTTACCGTAGCTCGCTGCCCACGCAGCTTGACCACATCTGCAATCGTGGCGATAAGGAAAAACCCAACACTGACATTTGTCGAGGCGTAAGAGAAAAAGTTTGACGATTCAAAAAGCTATTCTAATCGAGTAATACAATTGGATAGATAAGCTCTTATCGCTCTGGTTATCACTCCCCCCAATCCGTCGGAACACGCTGGGGGTCGAGAAATCCAATAGAAATCCAATGATCTTCATGCTAGCTACGTTAGCTTATTGGGCGGAGCCCTCCGTAGCCGATCACGGACCCGAAGGGGGGTTTGTAGACATTTTCGAGGAAAGAAATATAGATATTGATATCGACGTTGATATTGCGGAAGACGGCTACAATAACCATGTTAAAAAGAAAAGTGAAAGGGTTTAAGGTGCGATAGTGACCTCATGTCATCGAATCAATCGAGTCTAACTCATTCCAATCCCATTCACATTCCTGATATCGTACATTTCCGAAATAGCATACCTACTCCCATCCACCGTCCAAAAGCTTTTGATCCCAGAATAACACACGCAATCCGTTGGAAGGGAAAAAAATTCATTATACCGGCTGCTGAAAAAGATTTATCCAAAGCACATTTGCCTCCCGAGGTCTCACTCCATCCTTATGCTAACTATGCAACCGCCATCTTTTCCTCCGACGTCATAAACAAGACACCATTCCCATCATTATCTATCGTTAAATCATCATCATCTAAATTGACCGCTCCAAAAAGTGTTCCCATATGTGCACTATCAACACCTGTTCCAATGTGTGCTAAATCCCCCGCAAATGCCATTGATAAATTATTTGTCGCTGCCGTGTTTCGCGGTTCTGTCGTTGAATTGGGTTGAATATCAGTTTTATCATTTTCTGAATATGAAGGGCGATCGGAATGTTGCTCCTGTCGAGTTTCTAAGGTGGAGTTTTCTATGGTCGATGTATTTTGGTAATTATAATGTTGCTCGATTGGATCGTGCGTGTAATCAGATCCGGAAGTGGATGAGGGCAATTGGATTTGTGATGGCTTGATATCCTGTGTATTCAAGTATGTAATCGCCGCATCTGGAGATCTGGGTGAGATAAATGGTGGTGAATAAGGTTTAGATCGCGATCGGCCCCTTTCCGGTACATCGTAGTCGTGTGTATCAGAAATGCTATCTCGCCTATCGTTATTATCATGAACAGTGACCAAAAGTTCCCCTTCATCGGCATGCCTAACATCAATCACAATTGGAGTTGGCGATTGATCATCATGTGCACCATGACACTCATCAATATGTGGAAAATAGTCCAACAGAGCAGCAGCTTGCGATCGATTTCGTGGATCATCGCTAAGACAACGACCACAAACTTCCAGGAAATAGTCCGGCACATCAGGAGGAAAGTCCGATAATTTCAACGTTCTCTGAGTTTCCGGTTCATCGTGTTGGGTGGCCAAGGCGTAGAGAACCATTCCAAGTTGATACAAATCGGATTTGACGCCTATATACATCGAAATCCTCTGGTTGCTTTCTATTAACGCAGCGACCTCCGGAGGTTCCCATCCAACTGGGCAACCTCTTCGATTGATATCGATTATTTTCGCATTATCATCCCCATCTATGACAATATTCGACAGTGTGAAATCTCCTTGAACAAAACCCGCCTCGTGAATCTCGGAAAGCCCATGAACAATTTGTTTAGCCCAACGTTCCCGGCGTGCCCAAGGAATCCCATTATCACCATCATAAATAACATCAATCAATGCACCCTGTTCAGCGAAGCTAATAAGAAGTCCCTTCACGTATTTTGCTTCATTATCGAGTACCACACCACCAAACTGAATAACACTATGAGATCCAGAAAGTTGATGAAGGGCATTAATCTCATACAAAAATTCATCCACTTGATCCGGTCCTGGAATCTCCTTTTTGATAAAAACTTGGCCGGCCACGGTAACCTTGTAGACGAAACCAGATAGATGAGAATCAAATTCAAGCTCTGCTTCTAGAAATCTGCGACATGGAAGGTGATTGAGAGCCTTTATGGGAGGGAAATTAATAACCTCGGAGAGATCCTCCACAACATGAACATGAAGTCGTTCATCCTGTGTTTCTAACTTGAGATTTGTCACAGTATCGTAAAATTGTATGTCCTGGAGTGATTCCCTGATGGCCTCATATATGCGCGCACTCTTGTCTCTTTGGAACCTTGTCCTTTGTAATTCCTCCTCCAACGAATTACTCGGCGCATTTCTATAATCCAGAGAAATTGTAACTCTCCGCCAGCGTGTTGGTGATTCTGCGTAAGTAACAAAGAATTTTTCTCTTTTAGACTTATCTCGAAAATGCATACTCAGATTCAAAATCCATTTCTTTTCCAGCTCTTCAAGTATTGTTTCATCGAATGTATCTGTAGATACTGATTGCTCTTCGATATATGAACCCTGTTTCTCCTCCTTTGAAACATCTACATACTCTTGAGACTCTTTCTCATGTTCATTTGTGGTTGGCGTAGGTGGTCGCACAGATACATTGTCAAACGTCTTATCGATGGTTTCCACTCTTTCTAGAAATTCAGGCGCGCTCGTTCTTGGTCCATGATTTACAGCCGCTGATGACGAACGATGCGAGTTATTAAGTCGACGATCGACTGAAGCTGTCCGCCGTTCACCAGCATTCGGTTTGACTGGTTCTAATCTGTCTCTCAGCTCCGATTGTTGTCTCTTAAAGGTACCTGCCCTTGGAAGTCCAGGGACAACCCTTCTCGAAAGTCGACGACCCAATCCTGGCGGTTGAGCTTCATTCGGTGGAGAACTCGGCGGTGTGTGGTTTTCATCCTTCTTGGGAAATATGAACTTCCGAAACCAAGATATTCTGTGATTGTTCGATTCCGGCGAACCGGGCTCCGTTTGTGCCATCATCCTTCTCGTAAATTTGAGCCAGTATTTTCCCATAAACTGGGATATATGTCAGTACACCCGAATTGAAGTGTTGGGCAAAGAGAATCGATTCCTACATCTGCGGAAAAGGAATAACACTCCAGAAGGATAAACAATATAAAGTTTTCAGCAAGGTCACATCAATGATTCGGTAGGCTTGTAAGATGACTGTACGGAGTAGAATTGATTGTGTAGTGTAGCAAGCAGGTATTCGGTAAAATGAAGAAGAGAAGACAGACGATGCTTTCTCAATGTATTGAGACGAAGGGGTATCATTAAATTCAAAGAAGCATACAAGCAAAGAATGAGAGGCGAACAAAAGTATTCTATTCGGAAATATTGACGACGATATTTATTGAAAGATTTCTTGAGGAGGTCGTGAATAAGGTCAACCTGTTGAAATATTCCCCTGCCTTGTTCGTATCACAATACTCCCCCGAGAGAATTGTAGAGAATTGTAGAGATGGATAGGTATGTATATTTTAAGGATAGAAAAAGGGATGAGAAGATGCGATGCGATGCAATGCAAAGAGAGAGAAAAGAAGGCTGTATGTAGACTTATTTTCTCTTTCTCAATTCCAATTAAAAGGAACGTGGAAAAAACAAGAAGATCAAATACCGTATCATTATTTGCTGTGTGTATGATGCACATGCACCCATGCAGTGAGTTGAGTTGAGTGAGTGGGTGGATGAGTGGATATGGATATGGATATGGATATGGATATGGATATGGATATGGATATGGATATGGATATGGATGTGGTTGAGATTGAGATTGAGATTGAGTGTATTTTCCCCCAGAGATATATATGAGGTGGCATAAGTAAGTATGAATTACTAGGTTAGGTATTGAGTGCGTGGGTGGATGACAACACCCGGAATTTCAGGAACATTATGGAGATTTTGGTTTGGGAATGACGAACGTGTATCCTCTTCTCTGTTATCCTCTTTCCCCACTGGTTGCCTCTTCTTGAATCTTTCCTTTCTTTTCTTTTCAATTGCCTCACGTTGATATTGAACGCCCTGATCTGACACAGTGGACGACAATGACAATGACAATGACAAGATTGTGTATATCATCAGATATTTCATACAACACCTACTCATCATATTTTCATTGTTACAAATACACCACATACTTCCCTCCAATCTCCAATCTCCAATCTCCAATCTCCAATCTCAACACGAAACTCGAAACACAAAACACAAACTTACTTCGTGACCACGGAATCTCATTCTAAACTGTGTTACAACTCACCTACTATCAAACATAGCCTTGTACGATGACCTGGGTAGGAGGTCGGTGTACTTTCCAACACATATCCATATACCGATAGCCTTCTGTTCTATGCTTTATACGTATCTAGTGATACACTCACTCACACTCACTCACCCACCCACCCATCTCTTCTCATTCCCCCCAACACCAACAACAACACCAAGTATCACTGACGTTCACGTACGTATCAATCAATACCCGAAACATCAGCTCACTGCCTATTCCCCTTAGAATAATAACCTCATGCCGTCGTTCGTAATCATATCACAAAACCGCCCGTCTACTTCTCAATGACCATCTCGTTGGGCATGAACCTAAAAAAAACAAGCCACTCCTTGGGTCGCCATGAGGCTTCTTGGTTTCAATTGCCCACGTAGCAATCATGTGCTTCTCCCATTCCCTAGTCGTGGAGTGAGGCGGTAACCTGGAAAGATCCGATTCATACATTCATACCTTGAGAGTCGGGAAAGGATGGCGACAAATGGGATACGAGCATGCTGAGTGAAGGAATCATAAGATTCCGTTTCACCAGTGGTGGGTTGTGAAGTTTGGCTTACTGCATCGATCTATTCATTCATTCATTCATTCATTCATCCATTCATTCATTCATCCATTCATTCATCCATTCATCCATCGGATGCAAAATGATATTTATAACCCACCTAGGTATGTATGAAAAACATGGTAACCTACCTCCTACCTACCTACCGCACACGCCCGAAGAAACGAATCGAAATAAACGAGCTACCACCTACTCGAGTAAGTAATATTCAATGAATGAATGAATGAATGAATGAATGAATCATCCAATCAATCATTCAATCAATCATTCCTCTCAATCATCTCCAATCCCCCTCAAACTACAACGGTCGCCCCGCCTGCCGTTAAAATAACCTGTAGGTCCCCGCACTCCTTACATGAATCCCACCACTCAGCCCCCACTCCTCCCAACCAGTTCAGTCCAATACCACCCCCCAACCCCATACCCAGTATTCCCAGCACCACACACCGGAACCTCCAACCTCTTCCGAGAGCAAAGGAACTCTCAATCTCGCAAGAGCATACGATGACCATGTGTTTCCTCGCCATCTCAAAATAATCACATCAGCTCGAGGGAATCATGCAGACGGCGCGCAAGTTGTAAGCTAATGATCTGATCTGGTACCACACACATTTCTCACCATACATTTCCATACCACCCCCAGCTCTGTAAAATTCATGCAGAAACCCCAGCGAATCATCTCGCGCAATGGATTTCATGATCGCGATCGGAGGGGATATCACGATGAAGTAGAAGCGAAGTTACATTGAAAGGAGCAAGAGCTCCTAGATTCCAAGTCGATCTGCTCCTATTTTGAAGATGGCAATTGGATTTCTAAATATGGGTTTGATTTTGGATTAGGATGCTTGGTATACATACCTAGGTAGGTATAGCCACGAAAGAAAGGAAAGAAAGGAAAGATAGAAGTTAGGTAGGTGTTATGTAGTTTTAGTATAATAATAGGTATTTTTGATTCCAGAGTATAACATCAACATCAACCAATCACCTCATCTCATCCCATCTTAACTCATTCATTCTCTTCAATCTTTAACCCTCCTAAGTAACCTATACAAATAAGTCATCTCTTATACAAAAATTAGATTATATATCTATATCTATATCTATTTATTTATCTATTTATTTATTTATTTATTTATATATATATATTTATTCATTTCTATTTCTATATATCTATCTATTTATTTATCTATTTATTTATCTATTTATTTATCTATTTATTTATCTATTTATTTATCTATTTATTTATCTATTTATTTATCTATTTATTTATTTATTTATTTATCTATTTATCTATTTATTCATCTTTCTATATATATATTTATCTCTATCTATCTATCTATCTATCTATTCATTCATCTATCTATTTACATATTTACATATCTGATACTAACTTATAAATAATTACAAAATCAAAAATAAAACTAAATACTAAATCTCAATTCAATTCAATTCAATTCTATATAATATATCAATATCTCCTTCTATTCATTAACTAAATAAATAAATAAATAAACGCATATAAACTAAACCTACTCATCTACCTACCCCCCTAACCCTAACCCTAACTATAAAATCTATCCATCTAATCATCTAATCACCTATAAAGTATTGAAACATATAAATCACACATCTCCATTTAATACCAAGAACCAAAAACTAACACTCAAGTCAAACCCCGAAACAAATAACCCCCCCAAAATCTATCCAATCTCACTTTAACCTAGAATTTACAAGTCTCGTAAAACTCAAATCATCAATCGCCAGGTAATCCTCAAAGTTAGCATTATATTTGTTTTCTTCAGAGTGCTCCCCCCCACCCTCCTCCCCAGAAAAAAACTATCATGGACGTGATCCAATAACAGCTACCATACGTTTCTCAATTCTCAATTCCCAATGCTCCATGATTTTCTCTTCTATATTCATTCAGTACACTAAAGACATATACATATACATATATACACATATATACACATATTTACACATATTTACACATATTTACACATATATACACACATACACACATACACATATACACACATACACACATACATATATACACACATACACATATATACATATATACACATATACACACATACATATATACACACATACATACATACACACTCAACTCAAATGAAAATAAAAATACAATTATATCACACGTAAACTATTAACCTCTCTCCTTTCCCCTTTCCCCTTTTCACATTTTCACCTTCCATCCTTTCTCTCCCTACCCTCCCCATCTCCCTCCCTTCCCTCTCAGAGTGACCAAGAAATGTCAATGAACATAGGTCATATATACCTTCCCTCATCCGCAATCCACAAATCCATATCTACCCCCTTCTCTCCAATGGCTTTTAACCCCATCCACCCGTCCATGCCTCAATGCCCTCAAAATCCATTTGTAAATCCATTTTTATTCTTAGAGTAGAGATCCGTCCATCCATCCATCCATCCATCCATCATTAAAAACCAAACAAAAAACTAAACAACCCCTAACCAACGCCATAAATGCCCACCTATCCATCCACCCCTCCACCTCTGCTCAACACCCAAGCACGCACACACCAGCACCAATATCACCAGTGCCATAATACCACAACGGTAATTTTCACCAGATTCTTCTTCTACCATTTACACTATATCCCCATTTTTATCTTCATATACCCAATCCAATGGAGTAAATGAATTTCTCACTCATCGTCTCCATTCTTCTCCCCCTTCTTCTTCACTAATCTATCTTTCCAAAGCCCATTCGCTGCCTCTTTATCCAGATTTGGGAAGACGAGATCAAAAACATCCGAATACCATTTGGCGGGTCTACCTTCAATTCCATCTTTGATATTCTATTTTTCCTCAAATTAGCATTTTCTTCTCTTTTACAATCAGATAAGTAAAGAAAGAATAACATACAGCTGGAAGTTCCAACCAGTCGCTCATATTATCATCTGGGAAGATAATCATTTTGCTTCCCGCCCTTCTTGCAGCTACAGTCTTTTCTCTTAATCCTCCAATCCTGAGTACCTTACCCGTAACAGTAAGTTCACCCGTCATAGCAATAGTTGGATCAAGCGGTCTATCCAGTGCTAGCGAAAGCAACGAAGTAGCCATTGTAATACCCGCGCTCGGTCCATCTTTTGGAACTGCTCCCTCTGGACAGTGAAGATGTAACTTCGCCTTATCGAAGAAGTGATTATCAGGGAAGTTTTTGGCCATGACCGATTTGGCAAAGGAATAAGCGATTGTGGTGGATTCCTTCATGACAGCTTGGAGATTACCGGTGGTAGCGAGACCAGGGGTGGAGGAGGGGGACAAGGCACTTTCGAGGATGGATTCAACGTATAATGCGGCGCCACCCATTTGTGTCCAAGCTAGACCCATAGCTACACCAGGAGGTGTAACATCATATAGACGATCCGAAGTGAAGACTGGTGGACCCACGTAATCCTTGAGGTTATCCTTTCCAATGGTGACATGTACATCATCAGGAACCTTAAGACTTACTCGAGGTACCTCAGTAGTCTCCTTTTCAATTGTTTCAGGTGTTTCCTTGACATCAGTCTCATCTTTCTTGGATTCCTCTAGAGCTGCTTTGCCTTCTTCTGTCAAAGCTTCCTCTTCAGGAAGAACACTCTCTCCAAGGTCCTGGACAATCTTCAGAGCAGATTTACGGTAAACCTTTTCAATCTGTTTCTTGAGGTTTCTAACACCAGACTCTCTGCAGTACGACTTGATGAGTTCCTCAATGGCTTCTTTACTGAGGTTAACATCAACCTCCTTCAAACCAGCCAATTCCTTGGCTGCGGGTCCAAGATAGCGCTCCGCAATGGCCATCTTTTCATCCGCAACGTATCCTGACAATTCAATCATCTCCATACGATCAAGTAAAGGACGAGGAATAGTATCGGTCATATTGGCTGTGCAGACAAAGAGAACTTTAGAAAGATCCACAGGGACATCAAGGTAATGGTCGAGGAAAGAGGTGTTTTGTTCAGGATCCAGTAATTCCAAAAGTGCAGATGCTGGATCACCTTGATGACCTCTACCAATCTTATCAATCTCGTCAATCAGGATCAATGGATTTTCAGTTTGGCATTTCTTCAACGCCTGGATGATTCTTCCAGGAAGTGCTCCAACATATGTTCTTCTGTGACCCTTGATTTCCGCAACATCTGTGAGACCTCCCACACTAAATCTGTAGTATTGACGATTGAGAGCTCTGGCAATACTCTTACCAATACTTGTCTTACCAACACCGGGAGGGCCAACAAAACATAAGATTTTACCCTCTACGGTACCTCTGAGTTTGCCAACCGCGATGAATTCCAAGATACGATCTTTCACATCCTTCAGACCATGGTGATCTTCGTCAAGTACTGTCATAGCATTGTTGATCCCGAAGTTTTCTGCACTGCGTTGACCCCATGGGATTTGTGTCAACCAATCCAAGTAGTTTCTCGTGACATTGAACTCAGACGCAGCTGGTTCAAGATGTGCTAGTTTGTTGATTTCCTCATCAAAAACTTTCCTGACTACTTCCGGCATGGCAAGCTTGGCTGCCTTCTCCTTGAATTTCTCAACGAGCTTATCTTTGCCATCAGATTCAATACCAAGCTCTCTACGAATACCCTTCAACTGCTCCATCAAGTAATATTCGCGTTGACGCTTTTGAATCTTGTTCTCAACATCTTTTGAAATTTTAGATTGCAATTGAGCGTTCATCAACTCCTTCTTCAAGACAGTCAAACCCTTTTGTAATCTCTCCTCAATATTGAGAGTCTCAAGCACATCTTGAAGCTCAGAGACCTCGCCAGCAGAAACGGCCGCAGCAAAATCCGCAAGTTTTCCAGGCTCCGACATAACGTTGCCCGATGACTGACTCATTGAAAATGTGGAGATTTGATCTCGGAAGAGACTGTTGAGAGTTGCCACTTCCTTGAACACATTTACAATCTCATTTGTAACAGCACGGATTATGGGGCTTTTAGGATCATATGACTCTTCGGTCAAATTCTCCACGTTTGCAAAACTTACTGGGTATTTGCGTAAGAACGATATTGGCTCGTATGGCAATACAGGTTGGTCTGAAGCTTTCTGCGTTACCGTTCCTTCTTCGAAACTAGCTACAACATCACCCTTCTTCTCAGAAGATTCCTCCTTTGCAGCCTTTGGAGGTATGATCTCGGGAACAGGTGGTTCAGCCTGCGTGCCCTCGATCTTATTTGCATCAGAGTTCTCACGCTCAGGACTGATCAGAGCAGACATCTTGATTCGACGATGTGGATAAAGTACAGCAGTCAAGGCAGAATCATCTCCGTGAACAGGAAAAGCGCTAGTAATTTGTGCGAAAACTCCAACATCATGTACATCATCAATGTTCTCAATGACATCTTTATCCATATTGTCGTCCTTGAATAAGAAAGCTCCAATGTATGGCTGACCCCGCTTCATCATATCCTGAATAGCAGCTACAACATTGGGATCTCGCACAGTGACAGCCTTGTAGAATCCAGGAAAAAGAGGTCTCTTGGTGATTGGAATTGCCATCACTTGTGGATATACCTCTGGAACCATAGCTTTTTGTAAAGCCTTTTCCGAAGCTCCTTTGCGACCTTTCTTTCCGCCATCATTATTGCCAGAATCTCCTGCACCACCGGCAGTGCTCCCTTTCCCATCAGCCGCACTTCCAGAAGAAGTGTTACTACCAGAAGACGTTGCTTCGCCTGTCTTGATCTTGGTTTCTATTGCCTTCTCGCCACTGACTTCCTCAACTGATTCAGTCTTAACCTTTGCCTTTTTCTGTTTCTTCTCTTCCGCTGCTGTTATTTCTGCTTGATTGAACAAGTCTTTCGGGACATCTTTTCGCAGAGCAGGACATGTTGAAAATCTCGCGACGCCACCGAGACCCGACTGAATGGAACGAGATCGTAAAGAGACCGACGATTGTGCGGTTCTGCCATGATACTGTCTGATTGTCCTCCTCAATATTGTACTCGAAACTTCTGTATTTTGTTTAATGGTTACATTTCGAAGCGCAATCCGCCACGGTAGATTTTGGCCGTAAAGCATAGCTTTTGATTGTGGAGTGAATGGATAATTAAGAAATAGAATACAGAAGATCAATGAATCTTTAAATTGTATACCAGAAAAGAATAAAAACCGCTGATTTAGAACGTGAAAAAATGGTTGATGTGGATGACAATGGTAAATCGTAGTCGGTGACAATTAGTATTCTATGAGCTTCCCTACCACCACTATCTGCTCGTCATGACATTCGAAGCTGCTTTCTAAGCCCATCGGTAATATCGGTGACCCGAACTTCGGATAAACGTAATCCGGCGGGACTGAGTTACCCCCCCTCGAGACCACCTCAAAATGTGTACCAGTTTAATTAAAGATTCAGTTAAAATGAAATTCAATTCAGACACCCATTTTTGATTTGTTAAATCATGGGAAAGATGATTAAATATTTCTTTCATCAACTTAAACATTCATAGTGCTCATGTAATCCTGTCTCACGGGTTGTAAAAAATTGTAGCCATGACCATGTTCGGCCACATTTGACATACTGACTATAAGCGTGCTCTGTATATGCATTTGCAAAATTACTTACGTGATGATTATTAGACTATCAAGTAGACCAGACGGTTCTGAGATTCACTGGATATAAGTACATTTTCTGCCTTCCCCCGTGTCATCGCCGCAATGAATTGGTATCACATTCTTCATTTACTCATTCCTTCCTCCTCGGCGCCATGTCCCTCATAAGCCAAGGTGTACTTCCCTGAATGATCCGCTCATCCTGTGACTGAAAACGCCCCGATAGACTCTACATTCCTCACTTCCATGCATTAAGCCCAGCCCAAGGATCGTTCGCACTTTGCTGTGATTGACCACGTTGATGAGAGGTAGTATTGTTTCCATACCCATAATCATTTTGACCTGTCATAGAGCCACTAGGTTGATGATACGTTTGCTGAGGACCAAGGGGTGGTGGTCCAGGTGGTGGAGGTGGTGGTACATAGCCAGCTGGTACATATTGCCCTTGTTGTTGCGGTGCCATTGTTGCGTATGGATGTTGATTCTGTTGAAATTGAGTTTGCTGTGGTGGAGGTGAACGTGGGAATTGGCTCTGGTTGGGTGGAGGTGAAAGAGGTTGAGAGGGATTACGCGAATGCGCGCTTGGGTTGTATTGTCCATATGGCGAGGATCTTCCAGGGGCGGAGCTGTATGGGTCGGCTCTTTGAGGTTGTTGTTGAGGGTAATATCCTCCATTGGTAGAGGCTGGTATAGAGCCACGTGCGGGAGGTACAGTCGTAGTTTGTGGAGGCGGCGATGTTGGTACCTGGTACTGTCCCGCAAAGTTTGTACTTGGGTATCTTGTCGATGGAGATGTATTACTATACGCATTGGATCCCCTACGAGGAGGTTTGCTAGATGTTGGCGAGGTCGATGGGTCCATAGACATGCGTTCCATCAATCCCCTAAGACGTTCACGCTCCCTATCCGCATGTCCATTTGCATTGCTAGCCCGATCTTGCTCGATTTGATTTAAAAGCTGAGCGCCCTCTGACCTACGATTATTGACAAATGTCTCGACATTCTTATCAAGACTATTAACAGTATCCTTCATCTCGGCATACCACTGTTTAGCACCTTCAAGACCTGCTTGTAGATCCAAATATTCTTGATGAATTCGCTTATACTTCGACATTACTGATGTTCGTTGACGGGTTATGGTCTCATATTTGCTTTGCTCAGATCGGACTCTCTTATCTTGCAGAAGATCATTAAATGTGAGTGTGAGCTCCTTCATTAGTGATGATTGTTTGTGATTCGCAGATAATAAACGACTCTGGTGGGGTCGATACTTCTCAAGCTCTGCTTGGAAAAGCTGGTTCTCATAATTTGAGATACCTTTCTTGTTGAGGATGAGAACGTGAGATATGTCATCGTTATGCGCCTATTTATTGATTAGCGAGACCAAATCTAGATATGAAGCATCCAACAAACCTTTTCTTTAAGATCTTTCAGAACTTGCGACCTTTCCCGCTTGACCAAATTCAGTTTCTTGAGTGTATCCTCAACTTTGGCTATCTGGTCTGCGACACTCTTTTTTCCATCATCGAAATCATCATCTAATAGATTTCCTTCACGTGTGCTGGGACTTCCGGCAGCGTTTCTCGACCTTCCACCAACCTGAATCAACGCTCTCTGAAAGAGCACATCAGACTCGCCGAGTTCACCAGCAGAGCGCATTTCATCAAAGTCAACTTCATGCTGGCACATTTTCGAGTAAAGCAGATTATCACTACGAGAAGCCTCCTCAAGAGCTTCTCGATAGTTTCGTATATCGTTTCGAAGTGTAGATGTGAGCCGAGAACTCGGTTGTTGAGTCCACTCTCCCTCATACTTTGATCGCATTTTCTCACAGACGCTCTCCTCCATATCCAACTGTTTGCTGCTCTTTTCCAATATTGAGACTATGGCTTCTTTGCTAGATTTCAAGGAATTATAGGTTGACATTGGAGAGACATGTCCGGCTAAATCATCGCACCAGTTCCTGAAATCTTCGCCTCCGCTTAACTCTTGATCAAAACCGCCCTTGAGAACTTTTAACGCTCCGGGTAATCTGAGATAATCAAGACTTGCAGCCATCTCACTGTTGGCAGTTTCTACACGTTCCGTCTCTGCCCGTACCAGCTTAGCCTTTTCTTCATCATATAAGCTAGCCGATTCCGTCACAGACATGGGCACTATCTTTTGGAAGATGTCAGGTCCCGTAATACGTTGAATATCTTGACCAGCATAGAGTTCGCTAACTGGTATCGCTTTAGCAGCAGGAAGTTTTGGGATCACAGTGAGAGCCGCTTCGGCTGGTACAGTCTGGTGATAGATATAGTCATTATCCTTGATAAGCTCAGCAAGTTTTTCCTGGACATTGGTAAGATGACGCCTGTTAATTTCTATCAAGGTTGTGCCTGTCTCTGATGTGAAGTTTGAATTGACGGGCACATTTCCAGGGAAGCTGTTTGCAAGTTTACTGGCATCCTTAGATGATATTTCTGCTGCCTGTAATCGTGCAATAGCTACACCATGCGAATTTGCATCATCATCCGCTAGAGCCTGATAGTACTGAGCTAGAGATGACATGTAATTTGCTTTGATCTATTTGTGTTAGTATAAATTTGCTATTGGATCACCACTATGATCGAAGTGTGCTCTATAAAACTGGAAAAGATTGAAAGCACCTACTTGTACCACCAGAAGCCAAACCTTTTCGAATATGGCTTTATTTACGTTGTCCTGGGTTCCTTCCAGCGCTTGAGAATACAAATAGGCTGCTTGGCTAGCAAGTTTTGCTAATAGTCCAACCTTCTTACCATCCGCAATTTGCTTTTCAAGAAACACTTCCTGGCCTTGAGCAAGCATAATCTGAATCAGAGTCTTAACCGTATCTCGACTTAAGTCCGTAGATGGTGCATGGAGAAAGTTCTCATTGATATAAGTGAACATGCCGGCAGATGCTTGGAAAGAATGATATGCAGTTTTCAAACCTGAGTCCTCCGATCGGTTTTGATGCGCTGCATGACATGAAAGTACGGCAGAAATGTTGAATATGATCGAAGCTTTTTCGTACGCCAGAGAGTATTGTGCAGTTGCTTTGTGTGTAAACGCATCGAACCTGGCAACATTATTAGTAAGATTCTGATTCCCCTCATTTGATTCAACCTACCAAGTAAAGGAGATTTTGATGTGATTCTCATCGACCGGGAATCGCAGGTCCAATAACTCCAGCTGTCCATAATATCTGTAGAGTAGGTCCCTTCCGGCAGCACTGTCCTTCCCTGCTCCTCGCATATCCTGTCGCAAGCGGTTCAAGGTAGCACATTCCTCCGCATATCGTTCCGGGTCGTCACCATATGTCTGTCTGATATAATTCTTCAACGGCTGTATCCAGTCGATTTCGTTGGTTGCCTTAAGAGGCGCTGATATCATCGGGGCTTGCATCTCGAAGATTGACAGGATGATGCTCGACACCCTGATTATCGATACCCGGGCAAAATTTGTGAAGGAGATATATCACTTCAAAGGGTCTTCAGTAGATTTGACTGTAGGTATCAAACAGATATAATGGACAATATCGTGTACACCGATATTCGTCGAATGTGGATGGGAAAGCGGTGGGGAGGAGGGGTTGGTGTCGTCAGTGGTAAGACTTGTTAATTTGTTAATTTATTTGGATGCGCAGTATCTTGAAAGAATGGTCCGATCCTTGCGCAAAATTTCACTCATGTATGTCATGGCTGTGTCATACCTAGAAAGCTATCAAAGTACAATATTGATTTATTATTATGTAGTTTGATATGTTGAAGGAGAGTAGCAAATATTTGTGACTATCTAGGTATTGGAAGTAGAATCAATCGATGTTAAGCAGGTGCCCAAAGCTATCATTACTTGGTGCTATGGAGTGTGTGGGACTACAGGGCACTAGCTGGTGCTACAATACAGGGAATCTACACTGCTTTTTCTTTTTCTTTCTGCGGCCCTTCAGGAGACCCAGATTTACTCAGATAAGCGCCAGAGAACATTTTGTATATAAATGATTGTTATACACCCAACATTCTGGATGTTTGTTTCCGTTTCGTACTATATCCATATATGGATGTCATTCTCATCATTATCATCCTCATCATCATCATCAATCAATACATGGATGCAATTGAATTGATATCAATCACACACAACAAGCACAAAAACAAGAAGACGGTCGTGATGAACCATCAACCCAACAGTTTGTTCTCTCTTCAACCACAATGAGGTGATGACCCACCATTGACCTGACGATGAATGAGTGTTTCTCAAACTATAGGGTGTCAGCGTATGTAATAAGCGCCCTGTTTAGATAAGGAGGTAGCCTCGACTCAGTACAAGATATATCAAAAGATACGCCATATTCAATAGACATCATTTACTAATCGGAGTACTCATATGGACAGATTGTCTAGTATTGGGCTATTTAGGCTCTATCTCTGCACACAAATGAAGGCAGCATGCAAAATAAGTACTAGGTTGCTAGTATGTTCTTTGCAGACGGTAGTCGTCACGGCAGCCATGCGTATTACGGTTTGATTGGTAGGAAAGCCTCGTATTTCCCAGGTTCATTACATCCAGTCGTCGACGTGCATGTAGGCTGAGATGAAATACTCTCGGAAGTGGGTTGAACGGGGTATCAAGCGAAGATGACCCTAAAGGATATCTGATATTCATTGAAGAGTTCCATATATCATTAGTCATGTCACTGCTGTGAGTTGAGATATCATTTCATTTTATACTAATAAGTATGGGCCACGAATATATTCGAAACGGCATTCTAGAAGACATGCATTCGTAAATTGACAGCCATTCATCATTCCTACCATCAGGAGACGCCATGCTCCTTCATTTTTACCCCTTTATCCTTTGTACAGAGTGGCATTTCTAGACCTTTGCCATTTATTATACAGCGAGTTTCATCATTTCTTTCATTTCTTCTTGGAATCATCTTCTTTATCGCCTTCATTTGGCGAATTAGCACCATCTGTGAATTTGTGCCAGACGGATTTAAGAAAGCCTTCTTGCTTGTTGTTCTCTTCAGTATTTGATTGGGAAGATGGCCTGTCTCCGTCAGTGTATGGATTGAAAACAATGACACTGAACTTACGAAGAACTTGATGCACGGCCAACGTTCATAATTCGCTTCGCCGTTTTATCGTCCATCTCATCGGCGAGCATTTCCACGATTGTTCGCTGGTTGGCACTTAGGTATTTGGGCATTTTGACCTTAAATTCAACTTTCAGGTCGCCATTACCTCCTCTGCGTACCTCTAACTTCTTCATTCCCATGCCCTCTAGAGTGATCTTGTCTCCAGTGCCGGTTCCAGTTGCCACCTTAACACTGACATCTCCATCCAATGTTGGTATCTTTACCTCACCTCCAAGTAATGCAGTTGTAAAAGGAATAGTTGCGGTGTATAAGATGTTGGACCCAGAGCGACTAAATTTTGGATCTGTGGCTACTCGAACGAGTACATAAAGATCACCAGGTTGTGAAGGGCTATTGGGGTTCGCAGCCTGACCAGTAGCTGGAGCATCACCTTCCCTATCTAACCTCAAGCGCATACCGTCCTCAATACCTCCAGGTATGTCAACGCTGATACTTTTCCGCTCACGCACGACACCATTTCCAGAACACGACCGACATTCTCCTCCAGGTGGAATCGACATCCCTTGGCCACCACAGGCACTACATGTTGAAGCCATTTGGAAACCACCCATAGAATGCACGCGAGTGCCGGTTCCTCCACAGGACTTACACGCCGATCGTTTCGTCCCAGATTTCATACCATTTCCAGTACAAATTTTGCAAGTAGATAATGGAGATATGTTGATGGTTTTGCTGGTTCCTTTTGCTGCTTCCATGAAGGAGATATTCGTTTGAACCTCAATACTGTCTCCCACAAGTATTTCTTCTTGAAACGGGTTACGACCACCACCTCTGCCCCGTTTGCCTCCAGTGAAACCTTTAAACAAATCTTCGAAATTGAAATCCGCTCCAAATCCTCCACCCGGGAAACCACCAGATCCACCACCAAATCCTCCAAACCCCCCCGCACCGCCGAATGGATCAGCACCAGGTCCGGGTCCTGCTCCTTGGTCGAATACTGCAGATCCATACTGATCCCAAGCTGCCTTTTTCTGTGGATCGGTTAAAAGTTCATAGGCAGATTGCGCTTCTGCAAATTTATCTTTGGCTTTTGGGTCCTTATTGGTGTCTGGATGAAACTTTTTAGCAAGGCCATAGTATGCTTTCTTGATGGCTGAAGCGGAAGCGCCTTTGTCAACTCCGAGAACGTCATATGGATTCTTCGTGGCTTGGTTTCTCGTTGTCGCATGAAAAGACTAGGAAAACTTTATGTTAGTACTTTGTTATGTGACGTTGAGTAATTTGATAGGATAGATACTCACCCGTCGCTGTAATGAGTTTAATGTCAGGTCGTTCTGAGAAGGTCTACATCTTCCTCTCGATGCGCAAATTGTTGAAAGACTTCGTGTTTGAGATGGCTTGTGATCATCTCTTCTCAATGTACAATGACGACTCGCTGGTGTGGAATATAAAATTCGAGACGGATTGGCCGCCTTTGAGAGAAGGCCTGTTGTTCCTGTCTTCATTATGAAAGATTGATGTTCACCATGTACGCAAGAGATATATCAAGATGTGCAGTGCAATGATCATAGGAACAAATAAAAAACTAGTTCAGGTGAATGTATTGTTGAAGTTAAGCTAAAACTATCATGAATACCAACGATCATTCTGGAAAGCTCCAATATTTTTTTCTTTGCCGGCGAGGCAATTGAGATAGACCAACTATGATTGGATGAGCGTCATTGACCCCAGTCATTTATTACAAATCGCAACAAGGCTGAAAGTTATCAGAAGTCATCAGAAGTTTCGAAATGCAAAACAAAAACAAACATCTCTCCATTAGTAGATGAATTGATTAGTTTGGAGTACTAATTCCATTCTATTGCTCGTTGGTCATGACAGTCATTATTTTAATAAATAACTAAACTCCACAGTGAAAACTCGTAAGCCCCAACTCCCTGAAGTAAAAAGGCTCTCCGTAAAGTGCTCTATACAATGTATTATACAAGTCTAACCCGATTGTCCTTATAACACCAGCCATTCGTTCCCCCCGTCGCCCGTCGTATGCTCGTTGTATTATTGAATTAGGATGATAGTCGCTGAATATCGATCGAATTGAAGCTAAGTTGCTCACAAATTGTTCTACATACCTAGACTAGGCAGGTCGTTCAGGCTGAGATCGCTCCGTAGGCCGCGCCTGTGGCATAAATCTCATGCGGAATTTCTTGTCTATGAACAATCAGCTACGGTGTCGCTACCAGCTATGAATAGCACCATATTGACCCACGCTGATATCGAACTTTATATAGAGTCTTGGCTACACATTCATTTTCGTTGACCGACTGACTGTTGAAATGCTTGCGTACAGCGTTGGCCAATTGTTCTTTGCTCTGCCTCTTATTCTTACGAACCATACTTGGTGACATGCGGCCAATACTCGATTGAGAAAGAACAGTTTGATTGTATGCACTGTTGAAGGCAGCAGGTGTATTTAATCCGTATTCGTATCGATACCTGTGCAAAAAAGATGCGTCGAACTCCGACCATTGTATCTGTGAAGGAAGTTGTTGTTAGCCTACGTGCTTGATCTTCAAATGTGATGATGGTGGTTCATAATACTTTAGAATTTCCGTCGGTATTGGTACTCCCCGCAGCTCCTGCCATAGCACCAGACGCATTGGGTGTGCTATTTGCGCCCGATACATTTGCATGAACTGCACTGCTTACTACCCGTTTGCCTTTTCCGTTCGTAACTGGCGTTGAAATTGGATTTCCTTTCTCTTTGGTACTTGAGGCTTCTGAATCATCAGGCTGTTGCGGACGGGGTCCTTTGCGCATCTTGGAAGAGGTCGAGAGATGGTCCTAGGAGCTTGAAATCTGTACTTTGGTTTGTTGATTGATAAATTCGATATTCAAGTTTTTGGATTGCATTGGTAGTGAAAATCGTTGGATTTTTTTGGGTGTTGAAAGCAGATTCAGTTGAAAGTTGAAAGATCGTCATAAGGACCTGGTGAACAAAAAAAGATCCGACACACCAACAGGAAAGTTTACTGGGGCTAAGAAATTGGATACTGCTAAGTAAAGTTTACGTACCCCGGATTTATTAGTAGCGGATCAAGACATCCAGAACCACTTTACGGGTAATGCTAATGCACATTAGGGATTTATTAGCATTCCAAAGTTTAGCAGTCCAATCTCTTCGTTTGACAAGCCATTGATAGCTACAGTGGCTAGCTATCTGTAGAACTGGTATTGTTGTTCCACGGAGATGTACAAGTACGAGCACGAACGGCAAAGTCAATCAGAGGGGAGCTCAATGTTTCCACATCAAAATTGACAATCAATGCATTAGATCATAGCTTGGGATGATAAGGATTAGGGAGTCAAGCGAGCCTCGTCGGAGGACGGCGATATCGTTCGTAACTTTCCTCACATCGTTTCAGAGAAGTTTTCATCACACGGAACAATAGCAAATAAATCTGGATTAATTATGCTTCTAATTTTGATGTCACTGTGGCTCCAGTCCCGCAAGGAAGACTCAAACATACCTAGGTACCCCTCATTTCTTCCTTGTAAATTTCTCTATTTGGCGGACTCCGTATATCGTTCTCTAAGGAAGGATGGAAATCAGATCTAATCCAAAAACTTATACTCAATTTAGACCCAGGCAGCTGTGCAACAAGGTAGAGAAGAGCCAATCTTCTTCTTCGGACGGTATATCTTCAAGTCTCAGTCAGGACGTTGATTCAAGACGAGTTGGATACTACAAATTATCTACCTGCGAGGTCTTTCATCAATATTCCGGCGTCAAGCCACACAATACACATGACTTACATGGAGACTTATGACGGGTGTAACTAGAACTCCCCACGAGAAGGTCTAATGTATATTTGACATCTAGCGAGATGGGAATCTAAATGACTGTGACCCTTCCTCAAGCAATCAAAAAAGCACAAGGTCAGTGGATGAACAGAAATTCTACTTTAAGACATTCACACGGCACAAGAAAGAACAAGTACATGCAGCTGATAAAATCAAATTTCAAGGTTAAGATATTATCCAACCACTCCAGAATCTTCACATCGCCTGTTCCGTCGGATTGGCACTGCAAGCCTGCCTAAGCCTGGTAAGCGTAAAGCACAAGTCGATCCTCAATCTGTAAGCAGAGAAGCTATTTACCAAGTCTTAACTACTTTTGATGTCTTGGAAAAGCCTTCAATCCTACATAACCCCAACCAGTTCTTAACCTTACCCAACCCATCGGAACAATATTCCACGAACACAAATGAACGTCGTGGTCAATCAACATGGACTTTAACCCTCAACATCGTTCAGCAAAGAAGTTCCCAAAGGAAACGGATTCCACTTCAACAACTGAATCTTATAACATATAAGATTTGTGAAAACCACCCCTCTCCCCCTGCCCCTCTCTCTCAGTCGATATTTCAAACAATCAATATGCGAAGAGATTACATCGTATATCGATATCCAACACAACATCAAATCAGTACGACCAACATTCATTCCCCGGACCGATAGAAGGCGAGCATAACAAGGACGAAAGAAAAAGAAAAAGTGGTCTAACAACCTGACCAAGCCAAGTTTGTTAATGTCCCCACAAGATCCACAGCAGCTTCAACTGATCCGCTAAAAGAAGAGCTTCCGGCCCCAGACACTTGAGAATCTATGGTTTAGGTTCAACAAGCACAAACTCAAAACTTAGCACGAGATACATCGCCTTTTCCCCTCTATTTCTCCTTCTATGATCGACAACACAGACTTTGAAGCATGAGTGAGTAATCGGAAACTATTCTTATAGCTGTATACCATGTTAATCTTTAATTTCTATTTCCATCTCCTTTTCTAATCTCATACAAGCGCCCTATGCGCGTTCGTCAGCTTCGGTCCACCGCGTGTGTTCTTGCATGACCTAGCCACATCTCACGTTGCGACTCCATCATCCGTCCGACATAGAGTACTCTCGTGTTGACCAGGGAGCTTACAGCACATTTCCCCGCGTTGCTTGATGCGCATGAGAGTCTTGGATTATACTGCTGCATTTTGCATCATGTCTAGCTAACCATTTATCTTCACTCATTCACATTGCTTTGCCCTGTCTTGTTTTCTTCATATATGAAATGCTTCATCCAGTCTGACCTCGGACGATAGTAGAGTGATTTCGCCACCCTATGCGCCAATTTCAACTCCCTAAGGCTTTCAAAGACCTTCCGACAGAGTATTAGCAACCCAAGACACCGTACATATTGCGACATTTACTACAAGATATTATGAGATTATGACTTCGATATTGACTGCATATCCTCTTAATTTGCCAGAAAATAATATCATGGCTCAAATCGATCCGCCTGCTATGTCTCAAATGGCCGACCCCATGCTACAACACAGGTTTAATGGAGAAATTGACGACAAAAATCGCGGTAGACGTCGAAGCCGTACATCAATGAAAACCACAGAAGATGAAGGCGAGCTTTCGCTTGGAGAACTTGCAGAAGGTCACACTTCTGGCGATGACGGTCCCTTGCGTAAACGAAGGAGAAGTCGCAAAGGTCTAGACAAGAAGTTTGAATGTTCTACATCGGGCTGTGGGAAGAGCTATTCTAGAGCTGAGCATCTGTAAGGTCTACACAGTCTTAATCATCTGTGAATATATTGCTGACAGCTTGTCCATTTAGCTATCGCCACCAATTAAACCATACCCCGAAACAGATATACAACTGCGACTTTGAGGGATGCTCGAGAACGTTTGTCAGACAGGATTTATGTAATAGGCATCGAGACCGGCATACTGCAAAAGGTTCACAACTACACAGAAAAGATTCAATGTTGAGTCAAGGGTCATCAGTATCGCAGATTCCACAACCACAGTTACCTCAAGGTTCCGCGTCCCCTGAGGTACCAAGACCGAGTCTAATGGGGTCCAAGATACGGACAACGCAAATACCATACCAGTCTCCACAAGATATTCGACCCACTTCATACTCGCCAGTGACCAAATCAGCACCCGGAACTTACTCTGGTGCTAGCGCAGTTAACGGCGCAGATGGATATCCATCTGCCAAGTACAAGCGCTCCGACTCTGATATGATCCAGAGGGGCCAAAATTCATCATCTGCCGGTTCTAATAGTAGAGTTCAACGACATCAAAGCTTCGGAACTCCCGATACGAGGTCGTCAAATTTCTCCAGACCATTGCAAGCAAATGTTGGCCATTACGCTATGCTACCGAACGCCCCAAACAACCAAAACTACCATGGCAATCAACCACATAGTCCGCAGGCATACATAAGCCAACAAAACTTTCCTCCTTTCAGCTTACCACCACCAGGATTTGCGAATGTGACTGCAACCACGATGCCCTCACGTGAGCCGGAATTACAATCTCAAACTCCTGTTTCTACCGAGTATTCAAATGAGATCAGTCAAGCTCAGCATTCAGGTCCAGATATGGTGCTTCTAGATCAAATGGCTACGTCAAATACAATGCCGGTATTCGGTGGCGAAGGATGCTACAATCGTTCTCCATTCGCCATACCCGAAGATTTTGTAGCATACCTTTTTAGTAGCCAACAAAACGAAATGGGTCAGATGAGTCAACAGCCTTACGCAAAGTGAGTATCCTAACACAATTACCCAGTTCGATGAGTATCTAATTTACATTTCTAGCAGCTACCCTGACGCTACAGCGCAGTACTATGCGCCTTATTTCACTAATGAAATTGGCCTTGGAGGGTTTTATCCTCCTACTTCTCATCAATCCCATCACCCTATGGCTGTAAATAGTTTGCTTGACACTAGCTTGCCGGAGACAGTTTTGTCAGAAGAGAAGAGCCAAGCCATTATTGACTTGATCAAGGAAAGATTCAATGAGACTGGAAACGCACCCCTTGTTAAGCAGAAAAAGGATGCACTTTTCGATGGGGACCGTAGTAATGACAGTCATATGATGAGTAGAAAAATGATGCAAACGTATATCGGTAGTTACTGGTATCATTTTAGCGATCAAATGCCAATATGTAGGGTTTCTACGTTTCGTTATCGAAGTCAAGTATAGGTCGCTAATGTTCGTTTTAGTACACAAACCAACGTTTTCTCCAGATAACACACCGAACCTCCTTCTAATTGCAATGATGGCCATAGGCGCGTCTCTTCTTGACAACACGTACGCTGAAGATGTGACGCAGGCTGGCGCGGAACTGTCAAATTTCTTGGCATGGCACCTCAGATGGGAGATATTCAGTGACCAACAATTCCGCCCTCCAGCAAAATTGTGGGTATTCCAGGCTCTTTTACTACTGGAAGTATATGAAAAAATGTATTCCACCAGAGCGCTCCACGAAAGAGCCCACATCCATCACGCAACCACCATCACCTTGATGCGTCGGGGTAGCTCATTGATAGGCCGTTCTGCTTTGGATTCGCCTCCGAGTGCGAGAGAACAAGGGCAAAATAATTCACGCCAATCGTCAACATCAGGAGCTAACACACCTGACGAGTGGTGGAATCATTGGATTACGAATGAAGCTACAAGACGGGCCGCATTTGCGGCCTTTGTTATCGACTCCACGCACGCAACGATGTTCGGACATTCTACAGTTATGGTTGCTCACGAGATGCGTCTTCCTTTGCCATGCGATGAAGCTATGTGGAATGCCACAAGTAGTGCTGAAGTTGGTCGATTGGAGTCAACCCTTCAAGCCAATGGAGTCAAGCCTATATCATTTTTGGAAGGTCTGAAACGAACTCTTAATGCTCAAACAGTGCGAACAAACTCTTTTGGTCGTACGATATTGATGGCAGGACTCTTGAGCGTTAGCTGGCATATGCATCAGCGTGATCTACAGGTCAACTCATTGGGTGTATCGCAGGCGTTAGGCGGTCGGGATAAATGGAGAGGATCCTTGACTCGAGCATTTGACCTTTGGAAACGAGATTTCGACATGTCTTTGCTACAACAATCTGAAACGATGATAGGGCCTTATGCTTATACTGGTAAGGAAAACAACGTTGTCTATCAGTCAAGGACAGTGCTTCATCATCTCGCACATATGGCAATGCACGTTGATGTTGTTGACTGTCAGATATTTGCAAGAGCAAAACGTCTTCTTGGCCGCACAATTGGATCACAGGACTTAAACAGTGCCCAGAAAAGAATGAAAGATGCTTGGGCACCGACCGCTAGAGCTAGGGATGCGACATTTTATGCAATCAAATTTCTCTGCACAGTACTTCTTCCCAACGAACCTACCTCAGTCTCCCACGGATATGATCATGCACAACCGGATCCGCCATTTGATTATTCAGCTCGCGACGATATTCTTCTAAACCGACCGTGGGTTATGTATTTTGCTGCTTTGATTGTATGGTGCTACGGATATGCACTCGAAGGATCGACTAATGTCACAGTCCCTTCTCCAAACTCAATGGACGACCAAGTTCGGGATATGCGAGCCTATTTGCGACGATTCGGCTCGGTGGATAATCCTGAGGAATTGAAAAAGTTGACTGGTCTCAATGGATGTTCTGGGATGCTGATGGTTTTGAAAAGCGTTTTTGAAAAAACGAGATGGCAATTGTTGCATGAAGCTGCCTTGTTGTTGACCAATTGTATTAATCTGTTGGGTGCACCTACACCGGCAGCTGGTCGTGAATCATGATGATGGAAATGACAGGGTGAGAGGAGCGAGCGATGTGTCCTGGATGGAGGTAATTAGCTTTATGATTGTATAATATTCTTTAACGAGGTTTGGAAAGGGGAGGTATCATTGATATGGTTTGGAACAGATATATTTTGGACACGATATGGGAGGATTTCTTTGGTATTCATGAAATTTTAGGGTAACTTGAAAGCATTGGGAATCTGTGGATACCCAAGAAGTGGAAATATGGATATGGATATGACCTGATATGTTTGGTTGCATGGCTGAGTAATTGGGTTAGGAAGCTGATATGGGCACCAATATCATTATGACATATTCCCACTGGGATGTCGGATTTGTTTCTCTTGCGATTGAAGATGAGGTCCCTGTCAATTGATACTTTTATTTATTGATCATTAATCTATTGACAAGGAGAGCTTATGTATTGCCACGGGTCTTTCGCCTGAGGTGGACTGAGAGTGGAAAAAGGAGGCTACCTAGCATGTATTCCCTCTTCTCTCCTGCATATGATTTCGAGAATATAGCACTTTTCCACACACCGTGTGATATCGAGTGGACAATAAGCTTGCTCCTATCGTGTCCTGCATTATCTTCCACATGTTTTCCCCGTGGAATTGGTGACATCTAAGTCAACCGCAATGTTTGGACCATTTTTAAATCAAGCAATTTACGTGTTTTGATCTAGATCCACCACTTTCATTGGCTGGCATAAGACTTTTCGTCCGAAACGAGATGGCTTAATCGAGATGAATCTATCGCACGGAGCTCCAAAGGAAATCTTTGGGGATCTCGTCCGTGCAGGGACGTAGATCTTCTCAGACCAATTGTTATATTACAGGGTCTCGGGTTAAATCATTCTTAGTAGACTTCTCTGCTCCAAGGTCCTAAACATCTTCATAAATATCACAACAAACTTTCGCTCATGTGGACCTTTCCTTTCCGCCTTCCCTTCTTCGACCCTCTATATTTTTGACTATCTAGCCTTTAGGATTTCATGTAATTTCAATATCACACCGACGAACCATTCGTGGCGCGGCTCTACTGATAGGTATTAGGTAGACAAAATATCATTGCTATTAATATCAGAATGTTCCACGCACAAGGACTAACGGTTATTACTTTTTGCTACACTCATTCTTTGACATCAAACTATTGTTTCAGCACTGATACTTCCTATCTCATCTCTACTACTCACACATTTTCTTATAACTATTCACGATCTTTCATTTCTTCAATGTTTCAAAAGACAACCAAAGATCAGAACCTCATTTTTCAAAAGAATACTGATCAAAAGCAGAAAAATGTCGAAAACTGTTCTGATTCTCGGTGCTTCTTATGTTGGGCTGACAATTGCGCATAAGTCAGTATATTTGCCTATGTGATGCGATGAAGAGTGTAACTAATGCTATATAGGCTTTTGAAAACGACTCTATCGGCGGTTCCTGAACTCAAGATAGTTTTAGTCTCGCCAACCACACATCTATATTGGAATATGGCTTCAGTACGAGGTTTGTGGCAATATATCTATTCGTGCTTTCGATCTTATTCTCACAGACGGCAATAGCAATTGTTCCAGGGCAGTTTGGAGATGACAAGGTACGCCAATTCTTGGTGTTAAATTTTCCCAATTTCTAGCTGCGTAATTAACACTATATCCAGATGTTCGCAGAGATTGCGCCTGGCTTTTCCAAATATCCAAGCGAATCCTTCGAGTTTCTCTTAGGGACCGCTACGAGTATGGATCCGGTCGCTAAAACAGTCACAATAAGAACTACTGCGGGTCCCGACTCGATTCAATCATACGATTCGTTGGTTATTGCTACCGGTAGCCACACCATAGGCGAAGTGCCTTGGAAAGGAGCTCCTTCTGGATATGAACAGACTAAAGAATTACTTCATAAATTTCGAGAAAAGGTTGCAAATGCGAAGACTATTGTAGTGGGAGGTGCAGGACCTACGGGTGTGGAAACGGTCGGAGAGTTAGGATTCGAATTTGGAAAAACCAAGGATATCATATTAGTACGTACTGTCGCGTATAGTTTTAGTCTCCAGAATGATGATATACTAACCGAAAAATAGATCACATCAAGCGATGAAATTCTAAAAGGCGCAGTTACCAGCCCCATAGCCTCAGGAGCACAGAAAGAACTAGAAAAAATGAACGTCAACGTAAGGCTTCGAACTAGAATCAATTCAACGAAAATTCTCCCCACTACTCAAACCGAACTTTCATTATCTAACGGCGGAAAACTCGTTTGCGACCTCTATCTACCCACGCTGGGCACAATCCCCAACAGCGAATACATCCCCAAAGACCTACTCGACGGACAAAACTTCGTCAAAGTAGATCAACATCTCCGCGTCCACAGTGCAGAAGATGTCTGGGCCGCAGGTGACATTATCGATGCGCAACCGAGCCAATTCGTCTACGCCGATAAACAGGCCCACGCTCTAGCCAAAAATCTCGATCTAGTACTGAGATCGAAAAATCCAGTAGCGTATAAAACAGATGGCGCCCCTATGATTGCGGTTGCTCTAGGTCGAAGTAAAGCTACGGGTCGGTCTGGGAACTTCAAATTGCCGAGTTTGATCGTTTGGTTTGTTAGTATGTATTCCTGCTACTATTGCTTTCTTTCCGTTTCTCTTACTCCCCCAAAAAGGAAAAAGAAAGAAACTCCCCAATCATCATTCCGTACTAACTATACCTACCCATCACCAGAGGGTCGCACGCTAGGCACACAAAATCTCCTTCCATATGTTAACGGTACCAAATTTTGAATGAGTAAACCAACCAACCAACGAAGAAACAAACGAAGAAACAAACGCACAAACGAAAGAACGACGAAGCAGGGATAATGTAAAATGTAATGATGATATAGCGATGTAATCACGAGCGTAATCATGGGAATCGGACTGATCAGGTCAGGTCAGGCGCGCATGTGTGGAGGTTATATTATATACCCAGGCCGCTTTTGGAAGATGCAGGTTCTAGCGAGCAATGGTGTTGGATATTTTATGTGTGTATATAATTTGGGTGATTATTGATATTGATATTGATATTGATATTGATATTGATAATGATATTGATAGTGATAGTGATAGTGATAGTGATAGTGATAGTGATAGTGATAGTGATAGTGATAGTGATAGTGATAGTGATAGTGATAGTGATAGTGATAGTGATATTGATAGTATGGGATTTTGAATGTGAGGGTCTTCGCAAAATTATACTATGGTGTAAAGTGTAATACTGTGCATTCAATCTCATTTGAATTGGTCTAAATGTATGGATCTATATCTTCCATGAATACGTCTGCTGCTTGGTGGTTGGGTGGATGTATTGTAGTTTTACAAGTATGGATATAAAAAAGAAAGAAGAGAATCAAAAAAAAACAAAACACCCTGCTCGCTCTGCTCGCTCTACTCGCCATTCTCCATGTAAATCTAGAGTAATCAGTCTGTCCCCAAAACTCCATTCCCACACACAATCCTGTATTCCTTGACCTTCAAAATTAAAACTAAAGCTCCAACTGTATTAGATACCATATCTGATATGATACCGCATCATATCCCCTCTGAACCCAACTCAATCCCATCCAAAGATCCAAAGATCCACTTCCCTTCTATCTATTAAAAACAACACACGCCCTACGATCTCTCCTCAACCTCTACCCCCAACTTCTCTAAAACACTCTTCATCTTCCGATTATCCACCGTCGTCTCCTTCATCTCACCTCTCATGAATTCATTAAATTCTTCCCATCCATCTAAATACAAATGATGGCCTGCTTTTTGAATAACGACGACTTTTGCGCTCCCGTTTTCAAGTTCTTTTTCCTCTTTCGATGCGGTAGCGAGAATTTTTTCGCGCTCCTCTTTGCAGGCTTGTTCGGCGGCGTAGCCACCGGCTACATCCATCCAGTCGTTGTCGCCGTACATGAGGAGGATGGGGTAGCCGTGTTCTTTTTGGGTGAGGGGTGAGGAGGAAGTGGAAGAGGGAACAATTGGTTGACGGCCTACACCGTGGATGCGGCGGATGAGTGGGGAGCGAGCGAAGGCCCCTGGGGCGAGGATATAGGGGAGTGCGTATTCGCCGGATCCGCGTTGGCGGAAAAGGGAGTAGGCGTACATGTGTAGTGCTTCGTTTTCGTTATTGGGGAGATGGGAAAAGCGGCGGGATGTCCAGCCGGAGACGAGACGGGGTCCGAACGGGCCGGCCCAGCGGACGAGTGAAAAGGGGGATACGTTTGCGTCCCAAAGGTAGGTGAGCCAGAAGGGGAGGGGTCGCTTGGCAGGTTCGGATTTGGATTTGTTGTTTTCGCGTTTGTTGCGCATGTTTCCGAAATTGTTGTTGTCACCAGTGGTGCGTCTGCTTGGATTGGAAGAGGAAGATGAAGAGACGATATCTGCTTCTTGATCTTGTGTAAATTCGCTTTCGAGAGTAGATTCTTCGGGCTCGGGCATGGCTGCTGAGGTAGCGTAGGGATCTTCAGGAATTCCCACTGGTGAGGCGAGTATCAATTTGTTGAGATGCCCAGGATATTTGAGTGCATATGCAACAGCCATGTAACCACCCATACTGTGGCCTAGAAGTGTGAATTTGTCGAGTTTCTTTAGAACGCGCCATTCTTCCAGCGCATCGATAAACCAACTTTCTGTCTCTGCAATTTTGCCAGCTTGATCCTTGGCGCTTATTTTGAAGGGTGGCCGGGTGCTTCGTCCCATTCCTAGCATATCTAAAGCGTATATTTTCCAGCCTGGCACTCGACTTAACCCTTCAAAGTTTTTGTAGAAGAATCCGAGACCTGCACCGTAGCCATGTAGCATTACTAATGTATCTTCGACTTGTTCTCCCACTCTTTCCACGGAAAACTCATTCAATGCCCTGTTCTTCCCACTCAATTTTACAAGATTCGAATGCCATTGTCTCGGGCCATGAGGATCGTTTATAGAATTCGTTCGTACGGGTGCAGATACAGCATTCGGATCATCGTTTACTGATATTGTTGATGTGCCAGCTGAGACTGGGGCAGAGCCAGTCTGAGTATGCGTAGGTGGCTTTTGTAGATATGGAACGAAGGACAATACAGTATGTTCTGCGACAGCTGGTGAGACGCTTGCCCACCACTGACTGAATGCTGGCTTATAACCTAAAGGAAAAAAGCCTCTTCCTGGGGCATTTTCCTTGGAGTTCTCGCGGCGTGAAGCGAGTGGAGATTGTTGGCTTCGAGAAGCCTCAGTGTCCGAGGTAGCCATTGTAGTGTAGGTGGTAAGATTGGAAAGTCGTTTCAGATATGGGAGAGCAGACTTTCGACTACCGAATGTGTCTGATGGTCCTGACCGCAATAATAGCGATATGAGATTTGGTTGATACAATTTGAATGATTGAGAGGCAAGTCTTGCACCTCTCAATTACTTATAAAGAGAGTAATGTTAGTTCCACTGTCGGCGGAGTTAAGGACTTTGGAATAGGTACGGCCGGTGAACGCCACTTTAAATGTCCAGCCGGCTTATGATTTGTAGGGGTAAGGACTTGGATGGAATAGAGGATACTGTGAGGATTAAGTATACTGGATGTAGGTACTCTAGGGAAACCTTGGAAGGTAGCAAGCAGTAGCAAGCAGTAGAAATCATTCAATCATTCAATCAATCGAGGGGGGTATTTAAGGGCTTATTTGATGTATCTTCGATTTGTTAGGTAAGTTCTTAAGGTCGTCATCCTTATATTGCGAATGCGAATGCGATCAGCCAAACTCGGTGATCGGAGCAACCACAAGCCGAAGTTCCATAGAACCTCTATTCGCATTTGCTTCTTTCCGATTGGACCCTATTGGGAAAATATACTTGGATTGCGTCGACTATATAATATTGAGTGGTTTGGGAAATATTTATTATATTTATTATATTTATTATACATGTTTACCGGCTGTCGATGGATTTAAGAAAGACAAGATATAATTGTCGAGTAGGAAAAACATCCTCCATCTACACCCGATGACGGTGTCAGCTGCTTGCATGACAGTATCCAAAAGAGAGACACTCCAGTACATATCACTGGATTGCCGAGCTTCTAGAATATTGAACCTCAACCCAACATCAGTACCTATCGGTGAACTATGCCACCCCATATTGCTCCACAACTCCAAATTTATTCTATTGGTAGCTGATATTGGACTTTGTTTACCAAACACAGCGCATTTCATTTTTCGTCCTTCAATATAACTTCCTATTTCCCAACATTTTCCACTCGTTGCGCACAAGCCTCCAATTCCACAGTTCCACATAGCTACGAGGAGAGCATGATGATAGTGCCATAGCTTCAAATACTACAGACGTTCATCCATCGCGATGTCTAATCTCGACCAGATAGTCAAAGGCGCTCCGTCGCCAGGAGCCCATATTCCTCCTATCCCAACTACTGGCGTTACACCGTCCGAACCTTCCATTACCGATCCTCTCGCATCCCTTCCCTCCTCTCCTCCGCAGATCTACCTTAATCTTCTAATCCTCGAAGCTTCACTTCGCGCGCAGTGGCTACAACTTCGCACACGAAGGCGGCAACATGCGTTCTTTTTGAGTTTGTTGGGGCTATGGATTATATGGTTTGGATATGCCTTGTTCCTAGCACCGAGAGAAGATGGTAGTGGTGTAGGCGGATCTGTATACTGGGTCGTGGAAATGACGGAGAAAATGTGTTTCATGGGCGGTATAGTGACCGCACTGTTAATCTGGGGAACTGGACAGTGGGAGCGAGGGATTCGATGGCCGCGGAGATTTGTGGGTATTACGAACAGAGGGCTCAGAGGATTTAATTGTAAGCTGGTGGTTATCAAGCAATCGTGGTGGAAGGAATTACTGTCGGCATTATCATTTCTATTTTCGTACGGCTTGTTCTCGGGAAGCAGCGGTGGAAGCTCATATCGTTTTGTGGATCAATCGTTATTGAAAGAATCGGAGAAGGCTACGAAGAACGGAGGGCATCATGCGCTACGGAATATACATGAAGATGATGATACGAAACGTTATGAAGAAGACTTGGCCCCTGGTGGAGATTACGTGAAGCTTTTATTGCTTCCCAAACCTTTCTCTCCTAATTTTAGAGAGAATTGGGATATATATCGTACGGAATACTGGGAAAAGGAAAACGAGCGGCGAAAAATATTACGACAGAAATTGAAGGACCGGGAAAGGAAACTAGCAAAGCAACAAGGTGGATGGTTATGGTGGACCGGATATCGGGGATGGAGTTCAGGCCATGCGACGGATGTTGAGAAGATTCATCATCGACCTCATCGACAAAGTACTGCAGCGAAACGTGATAGGAGTGCAAGCGTACGATCACATTCTCATTCTCGTAACTCATCTCGAAGCGCAACACCTACTGCGGAAGCCGATGAAAGACCCGGCAGTAGTCAAACAAGGAAAGCCAGCAGCGCATCTACTGCCTCTGAACGTAGGAGAAAGAAGACTCTTCCTGTTCCAACCACTGGACAGAAACTGGCACCTTCTTCTCCCAGAATGGGAACTGGAGGTTCCAGATCCTCTACTCCTGATGTTCCATCGCCATTAGTTAGGGAAAGTAGCTTCACCAGTCTCTCATCTCTAGATAGTGAGAGACCGGTCACACCACTCTCAGGCGATGCTGATTCCGCAAGTACCAGATCATTGAGATCTTCTACAAAAGGGAAATCGGGTAGTTTGAGGGCCTCGAGAATCGATGCTTTGGCAGCTGAAGGTGATGAGAAATAGAAATAGATATCCTTAATGCTATGAATGTCTTAACTTTACCCCCCGTTATGTTGGTCTTTTGTTAGTGATTCTGCAAGTAATTTGTCATGTTGTAGGTGACAGCTATTGTACTCATCTCATGGCAATTGAGTAAGCTGAAGGGAAAGTAGTACTGGTGTGTTTTTTTTTTTTTTTTTTTACAAAAGAGGCTAATTGATTTCTAGTCGCCAGGGGTGAATGAATCCAGATTTTTAGAATAACATTGGTCAACTGAGCATCAAAAGGATGAAATTCTCAGATCCCCGAGTCCAGTGACTCGAAGCCTAAGGAACAATTTGATTCTTGATATTCCTACAGTATCTTCACCCCCCAAGAAGTCCGTTCACAAGCCCATTTTCGATATCAGCGTTGTCTTTCTACATATAAATCTTAGATTCTACCAATAGATATATACATGCACGAACAGTTTGTCAAATT